CACTTTATTTATTATATTATTATTATTTTTAAAAGACATATTTTATTGATTTTTTACAGACAGGAAGAGAGGGACAGATGAGATCGACCAGCTGCCTCCTGCACACCCCCCACTGGGGACGTGCCCACAACCAAGGTCCATGCCCATGACCGGAATCGAACCTGGGACCTTTAGTCCGCAGGCCGACGCTCTATCCACTGAGCCACACCGGTCTCGGTGCCACCTCCTCACTTCAGAGAGGAGGACACTGGGCCTCAGTGATGGGGGGACGTGGCCCCGGGCCCCACAGAGCCGGTCCGCTGGGAAACGTGCGTGGACTCCCAGGCCAGGCTCATCCTACACGAGGGGGTCTGAGGGCGGAGGGAGCGGGTCCCGGGTCCCTCAGAGGCAGAGCCGTCCGGCCCCGGGCGCCAGGCGCCGGCCCTGCTCACCCGCAGGTCCGCCCGGCGGCGCCTCCGCCCGCGCCCCAACTCCCGCCGGCGGCGCGCAGGCCGCTGACACGGAGTCGGGCTTCCCCTCGCCGGACCCCTTCGCCTCAGAACGCGGGGGCCCCGAGCGCGCGGACGGAGGACCCCAAGGAGAAGTGGGGAGCGCCAGTCCGGGAAGCAGCCCCCTCCGTCCCCTCGACCGGCCGCAGACCTGGTCTAACGCCGGGCGCCTGAGGGGGAGCGACGGCGACGCGCTCCGCCGTCCAGCTGCCGGGCCTTTGAGGGGCCAGGTTCCCATGGAAACCAGCGGAGGCTCTCGGCGCCTGCGCCGACGCGCTAGGCACTCTGGGAAACGTAGTTCCAGGCCTGGCGCACCGGGTGGCCGAGAGGAACTAACGCGAGATGGCGCCCGAGCGTAGCGGGCGGTTCCGAGTCGCCGGGTGTGCGGCCCCGGCGAGGCCGCGGGCGGAGGAGAGGCCGCGGAGGCCTGAAAGGCGGCTTCTCTCGGCAGCCGCGCCTCTGAGGCGTCTGGGATGCCGGGTGCAGAGACCGGGCGCGTTCAGCGTTGCCTTTGGGAAACCTGCCCTGACGAGGGGCCGCCCTGGCTCCGGCCCGACGGAGGGCGAAGGTTCCCGGTGGGAGCTGGCCCCGGAGGAAGCGGCTGTCCGAGGGGCGTCAGCTCTCAAGAGTTCGAGCCTGGGCTGGGCGACAGCGGCTGCTCCTGAGGCCCCTGTGTCCGGGGGGAGCAGAGGCCGCCCTGATCCTCCCCACCCACCGCCCTTCTTCCCCGGAGCGCCCAGCCCTCCGGCCCCGCCGCGGCCTCAGCTGCGAGCTCGGTGCGGGGTCCGAGACCTAGAAACCCGGGGTCTGACTCTGACTCAGGTCACCTCTCCGGCCCCCGTTTCCTGCCTGTAAAGCAGCGGTCGCGATAAAGCTGCCCTTTCTGCCCTGGGAGTGTTGCAAGGTTGTGAGGCGGCGCTGAGGTGCAGGCTGAACCGGCCGTGCGCTGCGCGTTGGTGCAACTTCTCCTGAGGAAATGAGGCAACGCCTTTCAACACTGAACATGCACGCAGCCGTTGCTTCGGCGATTTTAGAAATTGTGGATAGCATGGATAAGGGCACTACTTACTTGGAATGGAAAAACAAAAAACAAACAAACATCAACTTAAATGTTCATCGTTTAAGTTCACTTAAGTAAATGATGGGTTCCATCCAATAGAATGTGCGGTTATCCTATATAATGAAAGGCTAGGATGCAAACTGACCAAACGGCAGAGAGTCGCTGGGATGCTCCCTGAACGCAGGAGCTGCCCCCTGGTGGTCAGGGTGCTCCCATAGGGGGAGCACCACTCAGCCAGAAGCTGGGCTCATGGCTGGGGTGGTGGTGGGGGCGGAGCCTCTCCTGTCTCTGTGGCAGCACTAAGGACGTCCAACTGACAGCTCAGGCCCACTCCCAGCGCCAAAGTGTCAGTCAGACATCCCCTGAGGGCTCCCAGTCTGTGAGAGGGTGCAGGCGGGGCTGAGGGACCCCCTCCCCCTCCCCCACTGCTGAGTGCACGAATTTCATGCACCAGGCCTCTAGTTTTAAATAAGACAGAGCAGCAGCTCCTTTTGCTCAAATAAATGCTTTTTATTCTTTAAAAATAAATAAAAATAAGGCAGAGCTTATTATACTGGTGTGCAATTCTTTGTGATATCCAAAACTTTTCAAAGTGAGAATAGTATGTTAATATACTACAATTCATATTTTTAAAAAGAACACACATGTATTTGATGACATAAGCACGAATGTCTTTGGAACGTCTCAAGAAGCTGGTAACAGTGGTTGCCTGTGAAAGATTGAAGGATAGGATCTGAGGGACACTTTTAATTTTGTCTTTTTTTTAAAAACTATTTTTTGCCCCTTTAACAATCTGTGAGTTTGTATATAGCGTTTTTTGTTTTTTTTAAAATATATTTTATTGATTTTTAACAGAGAGAAAGGGAGAGAGAGAGAGAGCTATAAACGTCAATGAGAGAGAAACATCGACCAGCTGCCTCTTGCACACCCCCTACCGGGGATGTGCCCGCAACCAAAGTACATGCCCTTGACCGGAATCGAATCCGGGTCCCTTCAGTCCGCAGACCGACGCTCTACCACTGAGCCAAACCGGCTTCGGCACTGAGCCAAACCGGCTTCGGCTGTATATAGCGTTCTTAATCATTTGTCTGCATTTTTTATGAAGTTTTCAGTTTTTGTTCTTTTGTGTGCTGAACTCTTACTTCTTTTAAAAAAATATATATTTTATTGATTTTTTTACAGAGAGGGATAGAGAGTTAGAAACATCGATGAGAGAGTCATTGATTGATCAGCTGCCTCTTGCACACCCCTCAATGGGGATGTGCCCGCAACCAAGGTACATGCCCTCGACCAGAATCGAACCCGGGACCTTTCAGTCCACAGGCCAACGCTCTTATCGTTATCAAACCAGTTTCGGCTGAACTCTTACTTCTCAAGAGTCCTCCATAGACTCTAGTGGGCCCACAGCTCTGAGCTCACAGCTGGACCTTCCCGACACTGTCCCTCCCACCTGCCCCCGGGGAGTGTGGGTGAGCCTCCTGGATAGCTATAGGGAGACATGCAGTCCCTAGTGTTTGCTCAGCAGGGTGGACCAGCTAAGTGGATCGAGAATCAGATCGAACTCCTCTGTACCCCACCTTATGACCTTTGGCACGACAACCACAGACAGGAACAGACGATTCCTCTGGAGGCTGAATTCTGTCTGTGCATAATGACGTGTATTGTTAAAATATCCCAGTGGGAGGGGTGCTTAGGGATTTCCTGGCCTCATCCCTTTGTTTTATAGTAACTTACAAGTTACTTCACCTTAAGTGGGAGAGCCAGGGTTAGAAGCCTCAGTACTCTAGGATTAGCGCACCAGATTATGGAGAAGAGACTCATTCTTAAAATAGCATCAGGCCCTAGCTGGTTTGGCTCAGTAGGTAGATCATCAGCCTGCACACTGAAGGGTCCCAGGTTTGATTCCAGCCTCCACTTCCTCATGAGTAACTAACTCCCTTCAGATGTCCCAACAGAGCAAGCACCTACAGCCCAGGTTGCAGGCTCCGTTGCCAGTAGGGGGCGTGCACGAGGCAGCTGATCAATAATTCCCATCATTGATGTTTCTATCTCTCCCTTACCCTTCCTCTCTGAAATCAATAAAAAAATATTTTAAAAACCAAAACAAAACTGGGCATCAGGTCTCAAATCAATGAAAACATTTGGTGCCAGCTCTACCTGAGGCTTGCTTTGAAGGAATAACCACCCATCTACCCACCCCAACCAAAGCAGTGTGGCACAGGCCAGAGGATGTGACCTTGGGAAGAGGGGCTACCAGTGACAACGATGGAGCCACTTCTCGAACGCTGCACCTAAGCAGAAGGAGCCCCTAGGCTAAGGGGAAGGCCCAGCGAGGCTGGCTTGGAAGACCAGACTCTCTTTACGTGGCAGGAAAAGGGTGGTTAGGACCCAACGTGCGCCCAAGAACTAGCATCAGGTGTCCAAAAGGAGCCTCCAGGTTCGGAGCAGGCTTGGTCCTGTCCGGGCAGGTGTTGGCAGCCTCCACTTCCTCATGAGTAACTCCCTCCAGCTGTCCCAGCAGAGCAAGCTCCTCTGGCCCAATGCAGGCTTGTTCCCCACCGGCCTACCCGAGGGGGCGTGGGCAGCTGGCATTACCCAGGCCCTGCCCTAGGAGACGGGGAGACCCCACTGGCCTCCCTCCTTTCCCATTCTCCCTCCCACCCCACCCCACAGGCACCTCTCAGGACACCCGGGAATGGTGGGGAGACTGGAGGAGTAAAAAGAGGCCAGACTCCTTGTGGGACCACAGAAGCATGGGGCTGACAGTAGATGGCTTCATCGTAAAATCAAAAATAATATGAAAATGTTTTTTTTTATTTCTAAGTACAAAGTCGGATACTACGAAGACTGGGAAACTGGCCAGAGGCTATGCAGGACAAAAAGAGGACTCTCTTTGGCCTGGTGCCCTGTGTTCAGGGCCGCGCCATGGCAGGGAGGTGGGTGTTGTGGGGAGGGGTTGGAAGAGGCAGCAGCAAAACACCGCAGGTGTGTGAGGGAGGCCAACCTGCCGGCCCCACCAGAGCGCGCAGTCTCTGCTCCTCAGAGCTCCCCAGGCCTGGGCCTGAGGTTGCTCTAGGCCTCTGGCGGCCACTGGTTCTCTGGCCAGAGGGTCCCGGGAGGAAGGGGGCAGAGATGAGGCAGACGGAGTGGGTGAGGGAGGGAGAGGAGGGAGCCTGGGGACTGTTTTATTCCACGGCTGCACGTGTTTCAGGCAGCGGGTGAGAACGACCCCAAAGCACCTCCATTCTCTCTACTCTATCCCCCATAGCAGAGCAAGTGCTGAGCCCTTGACCGTGGACATGGGTCTGAGACTTAAGGCTGAAGAGGCTGAGGCTGTAGTGAATAGGCGGGACCCTCCTGGGCGGAGCTAAGGAGTGCAGACAGGCTGACCGGAGTGAGGCGTGCTCCTCCCAGGAGCTGTGTGCAGGACCTCTGCTAGTGTCTAAGGGGGCTCAGGCCTCACCCTCCTCCCCGCTGCTGTCCACGCTGGCCTGCCTCACCACTCTCCTGAGCCTGGGTGTGGAGGAAGCGCCAGCCTCCCTCAGTCCTGGCTCCTGCTTTTGCTCCTGCTCCTGCTCCTGGAAAACCAGGCTCCGGCTGGCCACCAGGGCGGCGCTGTTGAGAGCAACCACAGACTGGCGGGACTTCAGGGCAGGCCAAGACCCCTTGCAGAGCCGCCTGCCTCCTTTGGCCTTAGAGACCTGAAGAAAGGACTGAGGAGGGTCTTCGTCTGAGGTTTCGCTTGAAGAGAAAACCTGGAAGGGGGAAAGGATAAGGAAAAAGAGTCACAGAGCACAGAGCCTGGAAAAGGCTGGGTGCAGAATGTTTGTTGACTGAATACTAAAAAACCGAGCTGCTCATGAGTCACATTTCCCTAGGAGGGAAGACCCCTCGAAGCCCTACTGCCCTTGCTCCTCAGCCCTCACCTGTCTAAGCTTTCTGGCCCCAGAAGCCCTCCTTAGCTTCTCTGCACCTGCCATGTCATTGCGGCCCCTACTTCCTCATCTCGCCCCCTCTGCCTTTTTTAAAAAATATATATATTTTATTAATTTTGTATAGAGAGGAAGGGAGAGAGACAGAGAGTTAGAAACATCGATGAGAGAGTCATCGATCAGCTGATTCCTGCACATCCCCTACTGGGGATATGCCCGCAACCAACGTACATGCCCTTGACCAGAATTGAACCCGGGACCCTTCAGTCCCCAAGCCGACGCTCTATCCATTGAGCCAAACCAGTTTCTGCTCATTAGTTGATTTAAAAAAATATATATTTCTTTGCTGATTTCAGAGAGGAAGGGAGAGGGAGATCAATGATGAGAAAGAATCATTGAATGGCTGCCTCCTGCACACCTCCGCTGGGGACAGAGCCCGAAATCCTGGCATGTGCCCTTGACCGGAATCGAATCCAAAACACTTTAGTCTGCAGGCTGATGCTCTATCCACTGAGCCACACCGGCTAGGGCGCATTAGTTGATTCTTGTATGTGTCCTGGCCCGGGACTGAACCACAACCTTGGTGTGTTGGGACAAGGCTCTAACCAACGGAGCTACCCAGCCAGCTGCCCCCTCTGCCTCTAGACAGTCATTTGTGAAACATATTGCAGGTGCCAGGGCCTGAGCTGGGTGTGGGGTGAGGACAGCCTGCCTTAAGGACCGCCCACACCCATCCACCCACCATTCCTTCTTCCCCATCCTTCCACACCAGCGCCTCCTCCGGGAGGCTCTCCCCAAATGCCCCCCCTCTCTCTGAGATAGCCCTCCTTCCTCTGGGCCAGCCGGGACTCTGCTCGCCTCAGTGCTGTCACCCTCTGCATCTCCTCCTTTGATATGTTGCCCCTCAGATTTGGGAAGGGCTGCCAAGATCATCTCATCTACCCCCCCGACGGCCAGCAGCCAGTGGTCTAGCCCCTGGCCTGGGGAGGATGCTGACTGCACAGCTGGGCCGCCCTGCCCCTCAGGAAGCAAATCCTTTCGCCAGGTTCACTCCCACGGAGCCCCTGGGTGCCCTGGTCCCACGACGGCTCTCCCGCTCCATGGAGGCAGCCTCAGCTGCCCTCACTGGCCTCCTCTCCGCTCTGAGGGACCAGAGAGCACTGCCCAGGTCCCCATGCTCAGGCCCCCTTGCTCGGGGCTGAAGTGGAGCATCGATCCTGGTCCCTCTCCATCCTCCCGCCACCTGCCCCTCCTCCTGGTCAGCCCAGCCTCACCTCCGGCAGGTCCCCGGCCTGGGGGGCGCTCTCCAGCTCCGAGGGCGGCTCCAGGAGGCTGATGGACCGCATGACCCCGCGGAGGTTGATGCGGGGCCGTGGTCCGGGCTCCTCTCTCGGGGACGGCTGGCCCTCCTCCAACCCCGTGGCCAGCACCTCCCCACTGCCCCCCGGTTCTGGCGGGAACAGTGGGAACGGTGCAGAGACCTCAGGGGCCAGGGACTCCTCCGGGGAGACCCCGCCCACTTTCTGCTCCCAGACATGGCTCTGCCGGCTGAGAGGAGATGGCCCTGGTCAGCTCGGAGTGGCCGGCAGCCACCCACGCACCCCGTCCCCGCCCTCCGCGCTGTACCTGGCCGTCAGGATGCCCTGGTAGGTCTGCAGCTGGCGCAGGAAGCCCGGGTTGGGGCGGGCGATGGGCCGGAGCTCCTGCACGTGGTGCAGAGCCTGCTCCAGGCCCCAGCCGTACTGCTTCATGGCGTACGCCACCACCGTGGCCGCCGAGCGGCTGACGCCCATCTTGCAGTGGACGAGCACCCGGGTGCCCTGCGCTCTGTGGAGGCCGGACAGGTGAGTCCCTCCCGGCCTCGCTGCGAGGGGCCCTGCGTATGGGGGGGGAGGCAGGGCACCGGGGAGGAAGGTGCCCGGGCACGGGGGAGGACACGGGGGAGGACACGGGGGAAGACACGGGGGAGGACACGGGGGAGGGCACGGGGGAGGACACGGGGGAGGACACGGGGGAGGACACGGGGGAAGACACGGGGGAGGACACGGGGGAGGACACGGGGGAAGACACGGGGGAGGACACGGGGAGGACACGGGGGAGGACACGGGGGAGGACACGGGGGAGGACACGGGGAGGACACGGGGAGGATACGGGGGAGGACATGGGGGGGAGGACATGGGGAGGACACGGGGAGGACATGGGGAGGACACGGGGAAGGAAGGTGCCCGGACACGGGGAAGACACGGGGAGGACGCGGGGGAGGACACGGGGGAGGACACGGGGGGGAGGACACGGGGGGGAGGACACGGGGAGGACACGGGAGGACACAGGGAGGACACGGGGGAGGAGGTGTCCGGGCAGGGGAGGACATGGGGAGGACACGGGGGAGGACACGGGGAGGACACGGGGAGGACACGGGGAGGACACGGGGGAGGACACGGGGGAGGACACGGGGAGGACACGGCGGAGGACACGGTGAGGACACGGGGAGGACACGGGGAGGACACGGGGAAGGACACGGGGGAGGACACGGGGAGGACACGGGGGGGAGGACACGGGGAGGACACGGGGAGGACACGGGGAGGACACGGGGAAGGAAGGTGCCCGGACACGGGGAGGACACGGGGAGGACATGGGGGGGAGGACATGGGGAGGACACGGGGAGGACACGGGGGAGGAGGTGTCCGGGCAGGAGAGGACATGGGGAGGACACGGGGGAGGACACGGGGAGGACGCGGGGGAGGACACGGGGAGGACACGGGAGGACACAGGGAGGACACGGGGGGGAGGACACGGGGGAGGACACGGGGAGGACACGGGGAGGACACGGGGAGGACACGGGAGGACGCGGGGAGGACACGGGGAAGGAAGGTGCCCGGACACGGGGAAGACACGGGGAGGACGCGGGGGAGGACACGGGGGAGGACACGGGGAGGACACGGGGAGGACACGGGGGAGGAGGTGTCCGGGCAGGGGAGGACATGGGGAGGACACGGGGGAGGACACGGGGAGGACACGGAGAGGACACGGGGAGGACACGGGGAGGACACGGGGAGGACACGGGAGGACACGGGGAGGACACGGGGGGGAGGACACGGGGAGGACACGGGGGGGAGGACACGGGGAAGGAAGGTGCCCGGACACGGGGAGGACACGGGAGGACACGGGAGGACTCGGGGAGGACACGGGGAGGACACGGGGAGGACACGGGAGGACACGGGGAGGACACGGGGGGGAGGACACGGGGAGGACACGGGGGGGAGGACACGGGAGGACACGGGGGGGAGGACACGGGGGAGGACACGGGGAGGACACGGGAGGACACGGGAGGACACGGGAGGACACGGGGGAGGACAGGGGGAGGACGCGGGAAGACACGGGGAGAAGCAGCGGAGGAGGGCGGGGAGCCCCGCCGCGGGCTGGCGGGCGGGAGGCCGGACACAGACCTTGCGGCCTCCACGAAGCGGTGTGTCTCCTTCCAGTGCGGCAGCAGCTGGGCGGACTCCTCGTCCCAGAGGCGCACGTTGTGGTAGGTGAAGCGCTCGGGGTAGAAGTTGTCGATCTCCCGGGCCATGTTCAGGATGTGGCTGACCCTGCGGGGGCGGGCAGCTGCCATGGATGGGGGGAAAGCTGGGCGGGAAGACTCCAAGGGGAGGAAAGCTGGCTCTCAGGGTCACCACCGGCAGGGGACCCAGCGGGCTGGGCGTTCCTGTCTAGTTCTCGGTTCCGAGCCAGGTGGGGCGGCACAGGCACGACGGCAGCCCCGAGCCCATCGTGGCACCCGCTGGGCCTGGGTCCCCTCTAGTCCAGGCAGCCGCGGGGCTTGCCTGCAACCCGGGCCTCCGGTTACTCTCAGAAGCCAGTCTGGGAACAGCCGCTGAGCGGAGCTGCGACCGGAGGGTCTGCAGCAGCTGGTGACGGGCCCTAACCGGCGGGCAAATGATAGGAACCCACGGGAGCCAGCAGCCGGGTGCCCCCTTCACGGCGTGGGGAGGGCGGAGAGGGGGCCAGGAGCCACAGCCAGCCAGCACGGGGGCGGTTCTGTTCCGGCCCAAGACCATGCCGAGGGGCACGGCCCGGGCTCGGGGCTGGAAGCTGATTAGCAGCTGCCGAGGGGAGTCCGGGGGCCTCTGACCAGGCGGCCCCTGCGGGGAGGCCAGGCAAGGGGGGTGACAGGCTACGGGCAGTCTGAGGGGCTCAAACCCTACCTGTTCCTCTGCAGCTCTTCCAGGTTCGCAGCGTTCCACTCCGAGCCCTGTGGGCAGACGGAGAGAAGCCCATTCTCCCCCGCACGGCACGGCCGCGCGGTCCCACCGCCCCCGCCGCCGCCCGCCCGGGCTCACCAGGTAGAGGTGGGGGAAGATGCGGGAGGCCCGGTCCTGCTGCGCCATGAGCAGCAGCATCTGGTTGTCGATGAAGTCGCGGTACTGTTGGAGGGGGTGCCCCAGGCGCAGCTCCAGGGCCTGGCGGATCTGCGGGCAGGAAGACGGGAGAGGTCCCTGAGCCCCCCGCCCCCTCCGGGCCCCTGGGCTCAGCACCGTCCATCTGTGCGGGAGAGCTGAGGCCAGGCGCCGGGGCTGGCCGGGGACAGGGGGAAAGCTGGGCGGGAAGACTCCAAGGGGAGGAAAGCTGGCTCCCAGCCGGAGGGTTCCTCCCCCCCTCCGAGCCCGGCTTCCTCCCGGCCCCGCACCCTGCCCACCTCTTTGGAAGTGACGCTGTCCAGGTCACTGGTGTCCAACACCTTCCACAGCTCGGCCCGGATGGCCTGCTCCATCTGCTCCTGTTCCGAGGACCTGAGAGCCGAGCCCGTCAGTCAGTCCGGGGGCCCTTTCCCTGCTTTGCCTTGGCACCCCCTCTCCCCCCGCATTTCCTGCCTTCCCTGTACCCACCTGCCAGGCTCCGCGCTGGGAGGCCGCAGAGACTCCAGGTCGGCCATGGCCATCCACTCGTTGAGACAGCTCTGGTCAGAGCTCAGTCTGTCCTGGTAGTGGCTGGCCCAGGTGAGGGCACTGCCCCCTGGCACCAGACCGCTGCCCAGAGCCGCCTCACACGCCTGGTGCAGCACCTGGAGCGTGGCCCTGGGGCAGAGAGAGGCTGGGCCACACTGTCCTCCCCGCCTCCCCTGCCGGGACCCGCAGCTGTCCCTGCGGAGGGGCCCGCTGAGCCGACCCCCGCTCTTACCACATGGTCTGGATGGAGATCGGCTTGAAGATTCGACTCTGCCCGCCGGACGTCACACTGAAGCCCCTGAGGGAGAGCAGGGAGGGTGGAACCCCGCCCCGGGCCTGGGACAGCGCCCCTGAGAGGCGCACCCACCGGCTACTATGTACGCCTTTGAGCTTCAAAATAAGCCCCTTCTGCCAGACCTGGGGCAGCTGAGGCCCAGAGCAGCTGGGTGACCTGCCCAGGACCACACAGTAAACCTGAGGTCGGGCTGAGAGTAGGCCGGGCCTCAGACACTCGGCCTGGGGTTGCGCAGCAGCTCCCCGGGGGGGGCCCCCTCCCCCATCATCTGCACCAAAGCCTCCGCCTCTCCTGCCCCCTCCCCTGCCCTCCAGGTGCCCTCTCTCACCCATCTCCGTCGAGGTACACCTGGGTGTCACTCCAGAGAGGCAAGACCAGGCCCAGGGTGCAGCTGTAGGAGCTGGCGGGACAGAGGGGAGACGGCTGTTCCCCAGCACCCCACTTCCCAGCCCCCCCCCCCACTTCCTCTCCCCGCTCCCACCTGCTGTCCGGGAAGTCCACTCCCAGGAGGACCGTCTCGTCCTGGCTCGCACCGTCTCTTGTGGAGACGACCAGCAGGTAGCGGAGCCGGGGAGGCCGTGCTGCCTCCAGCTGGGCTGCCTGGGGGTGGGCGGTGGGGAGACTGAATGCCAAGGTCAGCGTGGCCCTCGGACCCTGCCCCCCTCACCGGGACGCACACCTGGGCCCAGGGCAGACCTGCTCCTGCCACACCGCCCCCTCCTCCCCAGACAGCAATCCGTGGGCACACTCCAGGGGTTCCAACTTTTGAATGTTAGGGTCAATAGAACGTTTTAAAAGGTTTTCCTTAAAGGGTGCACGTGTGGGGAAAGGGGGAGAAGGAACCCGACAAAGATTGCCCGTGTTTTATTTTTGCCTGGGAAGGAGGTTTCAAATAAACCCTTTCGCTTGCCATCACCACCATTTCATCCAAGAAACGTTTCTCACCAAAGAAATAGGAAAGACGCGATCTCACCCTAAAAGACGGTCCCCGTGGAGCCTTCCTTCCCCTCTGGCTGCAGCGAGAGGTCCCCCAGGCACCCGGGGACCAGGCCTCGCGCTCCCACCTGTGTCCACCCCCGAGGCCCCCAGCACACCGGCTCCTGGTGAGCACTCACGGCTCCCTGAGCCCGTCCTCTGGGCGGCTCACACTGTGGGGCAGGCCTTGCTGTGTTTGCCCAGAAGCCCGTCCCTGTGCGGCCCCAGGGCTGGGTCTAATGGGCCCTACAGGCTCCTGCAGAACAGACCCCGGTCCTCTCCCAGCCCTCAGGCGCCTGGAGATAGAGCCTCTCCCTGATAAACAACCCAGCGGTCAGGGTTTGGGCACTCGGCAGGGTGCCCCCTGCCCTCCCCACACTGCTCCCAGGGAGGACTCTCCCCCCCAGAGCGCCCTCACCAGGCGGATGTCGTCCTGTGGCCTCAGCAGCTCCACCATGAGGCGGAGGTGCTGACTCTGCTCCTGCTTCTGGGGGCTCTGGGGCCCGTGCCCGTTGTCCGTCTGGTCCCCGCCGAGCTGCTCTTCCCCCGAGGGCTCCTCCGAGGGCCGAGGACTGGACTCAGCAGCCTCCTCACCATCCCCTCCGTCCTGCAGCCCCAGCACCGCCCCGTGCAGCACCGCGAAGCTCTGCCTGGTGGGGCGCGGAAACGTGGCGGCCGGTTGTTCCTCTCAGGACAGAGGCCCCTCAGAACCCCCCGGGAGGGCCCTCAAAACAGGAGTGGAGCCCTGATGGGTTTGGCTCAGAGGATAGAGCGTCGGCCTGCGGACTGAAAGGTCCCAGGTTCGATTCCAGTCAAGGGCATGTACCTTGGTTGCGGGCACATCCCCAGTGAGGGGTGTGCAGGAGGCGGCTGATGGATGTTTTTCTCTCATCGATGTTTCTAACTCTCTATCCCTCTCTCTTTCTCTCCATAAAAAATAAGTAAAATATATTAAAAAAAAAAAAAAAAAGAAAGAAAGAAAAAAAGGATCCTGGGTTCGATTCCAGTCAGGGGCATGTACCTTGGCTGTGGGTACATCCCCAGTTGGGGGTGTGCAGGAGGCAGCGGATCGATGTTTCTCTCTCATTGATGTTTCTGACTCTCTATCCCTCTCCCTCCTCTGTGTGAAAAATCAATGAAATATATCTAAATAAATAAAACAGGTGTCGGGCCCCATCGGCATCGCCAGCAGGTGTGCAGTGTGGAGGCCTGGGAATGTGAGTTTCCAGCGTGGGCCCCGGCGATGGGCCACCACCCTCGGAGCATTGCTCCCTTTTCTTCCCGCCCACCTAGCTCACAGGGCCCTGGACGCTGGACGGGGACCAGGAGTCCTCAGGCCCTGCAGGCCCGTCTTGCCCTAGAGCCAAGGTCTGGCCTAATGGGTGAAGGGCCCCAAATGATCGGGGGAAAGATGAAGGCAAAGGCAGCCAGGTCGGGGCGCGAGCCAGCCATGCCCACGGGCAGCACTGCCCGCAGAGCCGGCGGCTGGCTGTGCTGCCAGCCCTCCAGGCGGCCGTGGCCGGTGCCATCAGACCAGATGCTCCATCAGCATCCGCTCCCTGCGCTCCGGAGGTCTGTGGGGGGAGGTGCTCACCTTCGCTGGAGCCGGCTTCTCCGCTTGGAGGCCTGGTCCTGCTGGGAAAGCAGCGACCCAGGCAGGGTTAGGGTGTGTGGGGGGGATTCCCCCCAGGTGGAACCAGCAGACCCCGGGCAGGATTAGGGCCTGCTGGGGGGGGGGAATTCCCCCCCAGGTGGAACCAGAAAAGGTGCCAGGTCCTCCCCACCCCAGTCTGCACCACCGGAGGCACCGGGGAGTCCAGCCCGGGGCCAGGTAGGGCAGCAGCAGGGTGAGGCGGGTGGGGTGCTGGAGTTCGGTCCACATCTGGGCCACGAAGCGGGGAGGGCCTCACTGGCTGGTCTGGCTCTCAGCGCTCCGCGCCTTACCTTGTCAGAGTTCTGGAGCCTCAAGACCCCCACCTGCAGCTGAGACCTGAGTCCTCCCTCCCACCTGCAGCTGAGCCCTGGGTCCTCCCCCCCACCTGCAGCTGAGCCCTGAGTCCTCCCCCCCCACCTGCAGCTGAGACCTGAGTCCTCCCTCCACCTACAGCTGAGACCTGAGTCCTCCCCCCACCTGCAGCTGAGCCCTGGGTCCTCCCCCCCACCTGCAGCTGAGCCCTGGGTCCTCCCCCCCCACCTGCAGCTGAGCCCTGAGTCCTCCCCCCCACCTGCAGCTGAGACCTGAGTCCTCCCCCCACCTGCAGCTGAGCCCTGGGTCCTCCCCCGCACCTGCAGCTGAGACCTGGGTCCTCCCCGCAACCTGCAGCTGAGACCTGAGTCCTCCCCCCCACCTGCAGCTGAGACCTGGGTCCCTCCCCCCCCCCACCTGCAGCTGAGCCCTGGGTCCCTCCCCCCCCACCTGCAGCTGAGACCTGGGGTCCTCCCCCCACCTGCAGCTGAGCCCTAGGTCCCTCCCCCCGCCCCCTCCCCGCCCCTCAGCCTGGAAGGGGGGCTGCCCGCAGACAGGACGCTCCCCCCCCACCCGCGGGCAGCCAGCTCCGGGGGCGGGACAGCAAAGCCGGACTCACCGGGGGCCCCACCGGCGTGGAGCAGCCGCTGGCCGGGGGCGAGCGGCTCACGGTGACCAGGGCCATGGGGCCGGCAGGAGCACCTGGCCGGCGCCGGGCACAGACCTCCCACGGCCGCACAGACGGCCCTGCCCGGCGGGACCAGGAAGGAGACGGAGCCGCCCGGGCCTGGCACCTCCTCGGGGCGGCCCTTAAAGGGCCAGCACCGTCCAGCCGCTGCACAGCCGGCACCGCAGGCCGCCCGCCCCGCCCCCCGGCCTCCGGTCCGGCCGTCCCCGCCTCCGACCACGTTAAGGAGGAGCCGGGGCGGGCGCAGGTGAGGAGGCCGGACCGACCGGAGGACGGAGGTCTGGGCCTCCGCCCAGGAAGCACCCAACCCGGCCTCCCGCTCCGGCCTCCGCCGCCCAGCCAGGCCGCTGGACTCGCTTCGGCCTCAAAGTTCTGTGCACAGAGGTGGGTCCCGGGGAGCACAGGGCTTAGAGGATCAGACAGGGCGGGGCACCCCAAACCTCTCTCTCCGTGCTGGGGGGCCCATGCGTGAGTCCCTGGAGACACGCGGGGGACGGGGGGCTCGGGCCGCCTGGAGGGGAGCGGGTGGCTCAGCGGGGACCCCCATGGCCCGGGTGGGGGCAGGGCTCTGGCTGTGAGGGCTCTGACGGCTCCGTGTCCCCCCTCCTGGCAGGTGCAGGAGCGGGTCCGGGGAGCCAGACCGGTGGCCGGAGCGCCTGGGTCTCGGGAGGTGGCACAGGCTCGGGGAACTGGTTTTTGGAATTTAGCACCAACTAGACACACGCTGGCTCCTCCCCCTCCCGGCAGCCGGGGCGGGGGGGGGGGGGGGGAGGGGGGGGGGAGCAGTGGCTTCTGAGGCTCAGAGGCTGAGGGGGCGTGGCCGAGATTGAACCCAGGTGGGACGCCATCACCCAGTGTCTCCCCTCGGTTCCACCCAACGGAGCAGAGCACGCTGCCGCTGAAGGTTCTTTATTTCCATCCTGTCTCCAAGGCAGCCCGTCCCCGGGCTCCGGCCCGGCCTCAGCGGCAGGCCGTTTATAAATAAATAAGTTACAAAAGCAGGGGTGGGGGTGGGGGCCGCAGCCCGGCTCAGTGTTCCGTGAGCGACAGCCGCAGGGTCCGCTGCAGGTCCTCCTCCTCCTGCTGCCCCCGCCGCTCCCGCTCCTCCTGCTCCCGGGAGGACAGCTCCAGGGCCAGGCGGAGCTGCTCCTCGAAGCTGGGGCCGGCGGGGGCCGGGGGCGCGCTGCGAGGGGCCCCCAGGCCCCGGGGCTCGGTGGACGGGTGCAGGCTTTCCTGGAGGGCCCTTCGGGCAGGCGAGAGGGAGAGCGGGCGGGTGAGCCGCAGCCAGGAGGCCCAGGGCTGGACGGGGCTTTGGGGGACACGGGCAGGACAGGGTCCTGGGGTCAGAGCCATCCCACAGGCGCCTCCGGTGCCGGGAGGGACGCTGATGGAAGGCGATCCTGGGACAAGCACCTGCCTGTCCCACCCCCACGGCCAGGGACCCCGTGGCCCTGAGGGGGGCAGGGCTGAGAGGTGGGCTAGGAGGTCCGGAGGGCTCACCGCTCCAGCTGAAGCTGCTCCTCATAGGCCATGGCTCGGGGGGGAGGGCGGGTGCCAGGCCTGGTGTTGGTCAGGGCTTCCCAGACAGTCACCTGCAGCGGCCAGAGCCGGCACTGTCCCTCTGCCACCCCCTGCCCGCACCCTGACCTGCCTGCCCCCTGCCCATCCCCTGCCTCACCCACCCGCCCGCCCGCACCTGCTCGGCCTCGGTGCCCCCCGCCCGCACCTGCTCGGCCTCGGTGCCCCCCGCCCGCACCTGCTCGGCCTCGGTGCCCCCCGCCCGCCCGCACCTGCTCGGCCTCGGTGCCCGCCCCACCCTACCGCACCTGCTCGGCCTCGGTGCCCGCCCCACCCTACCGCGCCTGCTCGGCCTCGGTGCCCCCCGCCCCGCCCGCACCTGCTCGGCCTCGGTGCCCCCCGCCCGCACCTGCTCGGCCTCGGTGCCCCCCGCCCGCCCGCACCTGCTCGGCCTCGGTGCCCGCCCCACCCTACCGCGCCTGCTCGGCCTCGGTGCCCCCCGCCTGCCCGCACCCGCTCAGCCTCGGTGCCCACACCCGCCCGCACCTGCTCGGCCTCGGTGCCCACACCCGCCCGCACCTGCTCGGCCTCGGTGCCCCCCGCCCGCCCGCACCTGCTCGGCCTCGGTGCCCGCCTCCAGCAGGCTCTGCTGGATGGCGAACTGCAGCAGGTCGTCGTCCTCGTCCCGGAGGGGCTCGCTGCGCTCCGCGCCCAGCACGCTGTACCCCTCGGGCACCTCGAACACCGAGGGGTCCACCTCGCACGGGAAAGGGCTCCCTGGAGGGCAGGGGGCCACGCTCAGCCCCCGGGGCTCCAACGCCAGCAAGGCCCCCACCCCCACGGCGGTGCCGAGGCGGGCACGGCGGTGCCGAGGCGGGCACGGCGGTGCCGAGGTGGGCACGGCGGTGCCGAGGCGGGCACGGCGGTACCTGAGGCGGGCACGGCGGAGCCGGGCACCCACACTGAGCTCAGGGGCTCGTCACAGCCGCACAGGTTGCCGAAGGTGATGCGGGCGTTGAGCACGTGGAAAAGGGGGATCTCTGTGGAGAGAGCCGAGCCTGAGCCGCCGTGGCCGCACTAGGCGACCGGCCGTCCCGATTTTTAACAATTTGTCCTGCGGCATTTTAAAAAGGCAAACATTGGGACTTTTTTAAAACACCAAGGGACGCGGGACAAATTGTTAGAAATCAGGACTGTCCCGCTGAAACCGGTGTGGCTCAGTGGATAGAGCGTCGGCCTGTGGACTGAAAGGTCCCGGGTTCGATTCCGGTCAAGGGCATGTACCTTGGCTGCAGGCACATCCCCAGTGAGGGTTGTGCAGGAGGCAGCTGATCGATGATTCTCTCTCATCGATGTTTCTAACTCTCTATCCCTCTCTCTTCCTCTCTGTAAAAAATCAATAAAAATATTAAAAAAAACAAAACAAAACAAAACAGGACTGTCCCGCCAAAAGTGGGACATCTGGTCACCTTACTATACACCCCCTGGTGCCTGGCCCCTGGGGCCACGTCCCCCCGCCTCCCGGAGCGGCCTGAGGCCTCCGGTGCCCCCCTCCCCCCGCCCTCTCACCGATCTTGACCGGAAAGCCCGGGGGGAGGCGCAGGGTGATGAAGTCTCGCAGCTTGGCGAAGTGCACGTTGCTGATGGCCATCAGGTCGATGATGGGGGTCACCTGGTCCCCCAGGGACAGCGGGTGCTCCTCGCTCAGCCACAGCGTCGCCTTGAATCTGCCAGCCGACCGCAGGACGTGGGTCAAGGAACCTCTGGTGGCCCCTCTCCCAGGGGCCACCCACTCCGGACCCCTGCCTCTGCCTGGCCTCAGCCTAGCCTGGGCGCCCTCTTTTCCCTCCGCTGCCCCCGCCTGCCTCCCCAGGAGCTTGTGACCTTCTGGTCCTGTGGCCTGGGCCCAGGCTGGAACCGATGGCAGTTTGTGCCAGCTCAACGCAGCAACCTGAGGGCAAGGCGGGGCAGCCGGCTTCCGTCTGCAGGCCCGACCCCTCCTCACCCACAGCTGGCCAGCACAGCCACAGGTCAGGGTGCCGGGCTCAGTGCACTGGGCGGCTGAGAGAGGTTCCTGGGACAGTGCTGGGCCCATCGTAAGCTCATGTCACGGCTCATCAGACCCTCCCGGTGCCCACGTGTGACCTCTGATCCCGAGAGGCCGGACTCTGCGAGAGGAAGACAGCTCCTTGGGCCACGAAGCCAGGAGGGGGTAGAGCTGTGGGCCCTTCCCGCTCTGCTCCGAATCTGGCCCCCGGCAAGTGGCACATTTCACAGCAAACCACACGTGGTGGTGCCGCCCATCGGCTCGTCCACCAAAGAGGAGTGGCCAGTCCTCGGGGCCACGTGCCCAGCAGGGCGCTGAGGGAGCGGGTCCCTCCTCCGCAGGCCGGGGGTGTGTGTGTGTGTGTGTGTGTGTGTGTGTGGCGGGAGTCTGGGAGCTCAGGGGCCAGGCAGGTCCCTGTCACTGGCGGGAGCCCCACCTCGTCCCGGGCCTCACCTCTGCACTTTGCTGGACATCTCGATGGGGCGGCCAATGTTCCGTGACTCCAGGCTGAAGTTGGGGTCAAAGTACTCATCCGGGGAAATGGCTGTGGGGTTGGTGGGGCTGGCTGCCTGCTGCACAGGAACCTGGGGGGCCCCAGGACCCCGCTTAGCGCTCAGGACGGCACCTGCCTGGCCCTGCCCCGGGCCCCAGCCAGCCCCCGCCCCCCCGCAGCCCCGGCTCACCCCGTTGTGGGAGGAATGCTGCTGGGCCATCCCGAGGAAGGACTGGAACGGAGTCTTCCCCCCTGAGGAGAAGCGGGAGCCCTTAGGTGAAGGGACCTTAGGCCACTGCCCCACCCCTCCCGCCCTGGGGCCTCCTGTCAAGTGGAAGACGGAGCAGGCGGGAGTGGGGTGACCCCACAGCTTGTCCCAGACACTCTGGCCCCCCCACAGGGTGGGGCTGGGCGGCGGCAGGCGCACCTGGGTTTACCTTTGTTCCTGGACTTGTCCTGATCGGAGAGGTGCTCCGTGCGTGTGCGTGTCACCAGCTCCACGTTGACGGCGCTGTACACCTGGGGAGCCGGGGGTGACGGGGGAGCTGGGGGCTCAGGGCCTGTTCCCCACACTCAGCCTCACCAGCGGAGGGAGGGCGGGTCTAAACCCTGGGACGTCACAGTGACAGGAACATGTCTGCTTTCATCTCAGTGCCGTGGGGGGGGGGCCCGGGCCGCGGGGATCCCTCCGTGTCAGGGGGCGCTGGGCCGGGCCCCATTGAGGCCCGGGCCGCACAGGGCTCCCAGCCCCAGCTCCTCTGCCTCTCCCTCCAGGGGTGGGCGAGGAGGAGGAGTGGAGCCCTGGGCCCTGTCCTCCCCGGCCCCCGCCACCAGCCTCGCCTGCCTTGGCCTCGTAGCCGCTGACTGTTTCCATCTTCTCAGAGCGCCAGCCCCAGATGCCGCATTTGTTCCTGAAACAGACAGACAGACAGGAGTTCCTGAGGCCCCGCACCCCCTGCCCTGGCCGAAGCCTTCCCTTCCTGGCTCCCTCCAATCAGCTCCTCACTGCGAAGCGGGCGGCTGGGACCGGGGACAAGGCCTGGGGACCGGAACGCGCTGAGGCATTACTGCTAACGCCGTCAGGGGCGATAACAGTGCCGGGCTGGGTTTAAAAGCATCCTCGCGTGTTAGTCACGTGCACAGGCGTTTACTGGTGGAATGACATGCCATCTGCGATGCCCTTTCAAACGGTCCAGAGAAAAAGAGAAAAGGTGAGGAAGGATAGATTCGACAAGACGGGCAACATGTTCAATGAACGTTGAATTTGTTGACTATCATACTATTTTGTTGAATATAATACTATTCTCTCTTCTTTTGTAAATGTTTGAAATTTTCCAGAATAAAAGTTGGAAATAAAAGTATATCTCATTCAACAATAACAGCTGGAGACTTCAATATCTCCCTTTCAATGATGGGGAGAACAGGGCAGAAGGTCAACAAGGAAACGGCAGATCTGAACACCACCATAAACTAGACTTCACCGGCTTCCTTAGAACTCCCCACGCAACACAGAACACACGTGCTTCCGGAATGCACGGGACTGGCCTGCAGGACAGACCAGATGCCAGGCCATCAGAGAAGCCGCAATAAGACGCAGAGGACAGACACCACAGTGTGTCCTCCGGTCACAGGGGAATGAAACTAGAATTCAATAACAGACAAAAGATTCGGGAAACTCACAAACATACAGAAAGCAAACAACACACTCCCAAATAACCAAAGGGTTAAAGAATAAATCAAAAGGGAAATCAGAAAATACTTTGAGATGAAAGGAAATGAAAACACAACATATCAAAACTTATGGAACATATTAAAGTAAAGCTTCGAGGGAAATTCTTAACTAGAAATGACTGTATTAAGAAAGAAGAGCCCTGACCGGTTTAGCTCAGTGGATAGAGCATCGGCCTGCGGACGCAAGGGTCCCGGGTTCGATTCCGGGCAAGGGCATGTTCCTTGGTTGCGGGCACATCCCCAGTAGGGGGTGTGCAGGAGGCAGCTGATCGATGTTTCTAACTCTCTATCCCTCTCTCTTCCTCTCTGTAAAAAATCAATAAAAAAAAATATTTTTTAAAAAAGTGAACAGAACCCACAGGACAGGAGAAAATATTCGCAAATCATGTATCTGATAAGGGACTTACCTAGTATGTCTAGAATTTATAAAAAGAACTCTTACAACTAAATAATAAAAAGATAACCCAACTTTTTAAAAAAATATATATTTTATTGATTTTACACAGAGAGGAATTGAGAGGGACAGAGAGCTAGAAACATCGATGAGAGAGAAACATCGACCAGCTGCCTCTTGCACACCCCCAACTGGGGATGTGCCCGCAACCAAGGTACATGCCCTTGACCGGAATCGAACCCGGGACCCTTCAGTCCGCAGGCCGACGCTCTATTCACTGAGCCAAACCGGTCCCGGCGATAACCCAACTTTTTAAGTGTGCAAAGAATCTGAAGAGACAGGTTCAGAATACAAATGACCCAAAAGCACATGAAAGGATGCTCATCGTCATTCGTCCTTAGGGGAATGCAAATCAAACCACAACGAGATGCCACTTCACCCCAATAGGCTGGTCACAACCCAAAAACAAGTAAGGGAGCAGGGAGTGTTAAGTGAGGACGCGGAGCAACGAGAATCCTCATGCACCACTGGCAGGAACAGAAAACGCTAGTCCCTTTGGTAACGAGCCTGGCAGTTCTCCAGTTACACATCCAGTTACCACATGAGCCAGCAGGTCTACCCTTAGGTATGTACGCCCAACAGAAATGAAAACATCTGTCCACACAAACATCTGTGCACTCCTCTTCAGAGCGGCATTTTTCATAAGAGGCAAAAGGTAGAAAGAATCAGAATGTCAATGGACGAATGACTAAACAATACGTGGTTTATTCACACAACCTATGCAGCCATAAAAAACGATGATGCAGCTTGATGCTACAACTGGGATGAATCTTGAAGACATTATGCTACAGGAAAGAAGCCAGTTACAAAAGACTACATACTACCCTGGCTGGTTTGGCTCAGTGGTTTGAGCGTCAGCCTGCAGACTGAAGGGTCCCAGGTTCAATTCCGATCAAGGGCAGATGCCAGGGTTGTGGGCTCGGTCCCCAGTGTGGGGTGTGCAGGAGGCAGCTGATTGATGATTCTCTCTCATCACTGATGTTTCTCTCTCTCCCTCGAAGAGAGTCAATAAAGAGAGTCAATAAAATTCTATTTTATTTTTTAAAAATATATTTTATTGACTTTTTTACGGAGAGGAAGAGAGAGGGATAGAAAGTTAGAAACATCGATGAGAGAGAAACATCAATCAGCTGCCTCCTGCACACCCCCCACAGGGGATGTGCCCGCAACCAAGGTAAACGCCCTTGACTGGAATCGAACCCAGGACCCTTCAGTCTGCAGGCCGATGCTCTATCCACTGAGCCAAACTGGTTGTGGCTTTATTTATTTTTTAAAAAAGAAAAAGCAACATATCATAGGAAATGCCCAGGATAGGCAAATTTATAAAGATCAGTAGTTGCTTAGCACTGGGGGAGGGGATAAGGGGATGGGAACTGAAAGACACAGGGTTTCTTTCTGAGATGATGAATGTCCGGAAATGAACAGTGGCGATGGTGCATACCGGTGAATGCACTAGAAACCACTGGGTTGTACACTTGAAAGAGATGAGCTGGATGGTGGATGACAATTGTATCCCGTGAAACGGTTTGGTTTTTCTTTTAGGTGATTCTGAAGGCTGTTGTTGGAACTGGGGCATGTGCTGGCACAGAAACACACTCTGGCCGGAAGGGTCAGGTCCCTCGGCTGCCCACAAAGGCCTCTGGCACAGGCACAGCTCTGCTCCTGAGGAGCCAACTCTGGTGCAAACAGCTGTCCTGGACCACAGCCCCAATCCTTGTTTTGATGGGAAAATATGCGAGGTTCGGAGTCAAAAAACTGGGGACACCCTGACCTAGTCTCTTCCCCAGGAAGCCAGCTGCCAGGACAGACAGACAGGTGCAGGCTGGAAGGTTGCCACAGGATGCTGAGGTGGCCAATCTTCGGGGGGCACTGGGCCTTCAGTGACACACACACACACACACACACACACGCAATCTGAGCAGCCTCCGCAAGTGGCTCAGCCTCCCAGAGACCTGCACCCGGAGCCTCGAGGGCAGCGCCCGCCGTGCAGCCAGACCCCAACCGACCTCTCAAAAGCCACGTTGCGGGTGTCCAGGTGGGTGGAGACGATGGGCGAGGTGAGGCGGCTGGCCACGTGCTCCTCACTGGGCCGCATGGCGGCCAGCAGCACCTCGGGCTCCGGCGGGGCCAGTCCCAGCGTCTCCGTGTGGACCACCTGCCGGTCATGGTCCACTTCCATCACCAGGGCGCCGGCCTCTGCCAGCCGGCGGGGGCGAGAGGGGAGCACATCAGTGCCAGGCCCAAGGCGGTGGGTGGGGCCCATCCCGATGCCCCCAGCCACCTGCTGCCAAGGGTGGGCTCCGCCCTGGGTGCCCTCCCCCGGACCTCCATGTCCACCTCTTGCCTTCCAGCGGGAAGCAAGGACGGCCCGGTCTCCACAGGCCCCAGGAGAAGCCCCGAGCCCGCGGCGAGTCCCGGACCTCACCCTGGCCCTTGAAGATGAAGCTCCTCCGGCCGCGCTGCCAGGTCATGTGTTCGAAGCCCAGCAGGCTGGTGTCCACCCGCAGGCTCTCGCCCCGCTTCCACACCCGGTACACGTCGCTCGGGCACATCTTGGACACGAGGGGCACTGCAGGGGCACAGAGGTCACCAGGGTTCTTTCCCCGAGGCCCCACCCGGCCCTCGGCGCCGAGCAGCCCCCACTCACCCCAGCTGGTGAACTCCCACTTCATCTCCACGTAGAAGTCCGGGGCCTGGGCAGAGCGGAGCGCCAGTCAGGCCCTGCCTGGTGCCGGGGCCGGCGGCCCAGCCGCTCCTGGCCTGCAGCCCCGAGCCCTTCAGCTTGGGGACATCCCGATGCATTGCCATGGCCCTGTATGCCCCTATCACTACCCCTTCCCCCCCCCCCCCCCCCCCGAGAAAGGTGGGCCAAGGGGTGCCCTAAAGGCCTTCAGCAATCAGACTGTAAGATCTGAGGGCCCTTCTCAACCTGGCTGCCGAGTGCTGGGGGGCCCCCAGGGAGCTCCTGACTGTTCTGGACCCCAGAAGCCTCATCTGCAGACGGAGCACAGCTCTGGGCCTGCCCCCGGGATGGGGGGAAGGAGGTAGTGTGCTCTCCACACCCCCCTCCCGGGGCTTGGAGAAGGGCAGACAGTATTCCAAAAGCGCAGGCCGCGTCCGTATTGTTGGTGAGACCCTCCCTCCCCAGAGCCTGCCTCCACTGGGAGCCCCGGCCTGAAGCCGCTGAGGTTCCTGGCCCCGGGGGAGCCTCCATGCGGATGAGCACTTTCCTTCCGGATCGCTCTTGTCCCTGCGGCCCCTCTCCTCCCTGACCCCGGGCTGGGTCACCAGAGCGGGACTGGGGGTGAGGGCATGTGTGGGGAGTGGGAGGGGCCGAGGAGAGGTCAATGGGGGGGGGGGGGGAGAGACATATATAATACTTTAAACAATAAAGAATTGAAATAAAAATAACAATCAGAGATAGCGATAAAAAAATAGAGGGGCGGGGACTTCAGCGGCAGTGTTGGGAAAGCATGCTGCCCGGGCTGGTGCCCTCCCGAGGCCGGGCCAGGCAGGGGGACCAGGGGGACCGCCCGCAGTCGGTCAGCCCCGGCCTTGGCTCTCTGCCCTCGCACTGGCCGCCACTCGGTGCCCGGGTACCTGGCGGAGTTTGTTGAGCAGCTCCGGGATGCCCGCCAGCCTCTGCCTGGCCCTCTGGTAGTCCCGGTACTGCAGCACCACCTGCACCATCTCCGGGTCCCCCGTGCTCACCGCCTCCTGCAGGACTGGGGTCCCCACGCGGCTGAGGGGTGCCCTCCGGGCGCCCCGGTCTGGTCACCCGCCAGCCTCGATGCCACCCGCCAGTACCTGCCCAGCCCTGGCAGCTCTCTCTGCCCACGTTGGCATTGTGGCGGAGGAGGACTCGCACGGACTCCAGGTTCCCCAGGGACACGGCCAGCTCCAGGGGGGTGCGGCCCCGCGGGTCCTCCTGCTCGATGTCGTGCTGGGGAGACGGGACACTCAGCCCGGGGCACGGAGGGCGAGGGCGGCCAGGGACCGCGGGCTGAGCAGGCGGAGGCCCGGGGGTGGCGGAGGGCGCCCCCCGTTGGCCCTGAGGGAGGGCGAGGGCAGGGGGGCAGGGGGGCAGGGCCCGGCCGCCTCTCCGGGGCTTTGCGGGGACAGAGCTGGGCCCATGCGGGCCTGGCCGGGCAGAGGTGGCGCCGGGCTGTCAGGGGCCGGGAAGTCGGCTGCTGCAGCGCGAGGCGGGGAGGCGGGAGGCCCGGGCTCCCAGCGGCGGGAGGGGCAGCGAGAGGCGGCGGGCCGGGCGGGGCCGGGGCCTCGGATGGAGGCCGGGCTCTGGGCGCGGAGCCCGCGCCGGGGCTCACCTGGCGGCTGTGCAGCGCGGCCTCCAGCTCGCGGTGCCGGTTCGCCCAGACGAGCCGGTGCAGCGGGAAGGTGGGGCCCGGGCCGGCCATGCTGGGCCTCAGCGCCGCATCCCGGGCGGCGGGCGGCGGGCGGCGGGCGTGGCGAGGGCGGCCCGGCTGCCTGTGCTGGGCCTGGGCGGCCCCCGCCTCGGTCCTCCCCGCCCGGCTACACCCCCCGCGGCCGGACCCGCTCCGCGGCGGCGGCGCAGGTGGCGGGAGGGCGGGGCGGACCGGGGGCGGGGCCTGGGGCGGGGCCTGGGGCGGGGCGGGGGCGGGGGCGGGGCGGCGGCCGCGCGCCCCTCGCCGCCTGCAGCCATGGCAACCGCCGCCGGGTTGCGTGCGCGTAGGCCCGGGGCCGCGCCGCGAGGCCGGTGCGCGCGTCCGGGGAAGCCGGGCTGGGCCGCCGCGGGGAGAGGGGCTGCGGGGGGCGGCCCGGAGGGCGGGGCCTGGCTGCGGCTCCGCCCGCGGCCTGCAGGGGGCGCGCCAGCCCAGCCTGGCCCCTCCTTGCGGTCCCGCAGCGGAAGGAGGGGGGCGGGGCGGGGCGTCCCGGCGAGGGGCGGGGCCTGGGGCCCGGGACGTGCGCGCGCAGCGGCCGCCTCGGTGCTGTGCGTGGGCCCTCGTGTTTCTCCCACGGCCCCGCCCCGCCGGGCCCGGCCGGTGGCCGCTGAGCGCAGCAGGGGCCTGGCCGGGGCTGGGCCGGGGCCGCGGCGGCTGCACGCAGGAGGGTCCGGCCCCGCAGGGGAGAGCCCCCGGGGCCGGGAGCCCGGAGCAGGGCCCCTGGGAGCGGGGGGGCAGGCCTGGCCGGCTCTGGCTCTCCTGCGGGAGGACTGTCCGCGGCGAGCGGCTCGGACCCCCGCGGGGTCCCTTCGGCAGAGGCCGCCTTCGGGGCCAGTGTCAGGAGCGGAAGGAGTTTCGAAATCAGAGCCGGCCGCCCCTCCGCCCACACGGACCCAAGGTGCAGCCTCCGGCCCAGCGCTGCCGCTGCCCGGCCTTGGCCTGGCGCCTGGGCCTGGCCTTGGGCGATGAGGCGGCCACCTTACCCTCTCCCCTCAGGCCGTGTGCTCCCTGCTGTCCGGCTCCCAACGGCACCATACTCCCCAGGGGCCATCTTGAACCCCCATCTCTTTCTCCCCCCAAGTCCTGCCCATTACTGATGGGCCCTGTTCTTCCCCTCGGGCCTGTTTGCATCTCTTCCAGACCCAGCCTCCACCACGGCCATTATGGCACCATGGCCTCCCTGCTCCATCCTCTGCCTCCCTCCCCTCATCCTGCCGTGGTCATCGGTGACGGGTCCTGCCGCCGCTCCCAGTGCCCAGCCGTCCCAGCCCATCCAAGCTCAGACCCACGTCCATCCCATCTTGGTCCTGTGGCCACTAAGTGCGCGCTGGGCTCTGAGCCAGGCTGAGCCCGGCATTCAGGGCCTCCCAGCCTGGCTCCTTCCCACAGTGCTCCTGCCAGCTGGAGCCACTCCCCACTGCCCGGCCCAGCCCTGTCAGAAACACCCGCCTCCCACCTCCATACTGAGGCCCAGCTCAGAGGCCTTTTTCAAGCCCCAGCCTCCACCCCAGCAGCCTTCCTTCGCCACCTGCCGAGCTGTGCTTTGGTCCTGTGCCCCTCAGCCCTGCCCAGCAGAACCTTCCAGGGGTGGACAGCAACAGCCCTCACCCACAGGGGCCTGTGGGGCCGGGCTGGGGAAGAGGAGTTGACTAGAGCCTCTGGGGGGTCGCTCAGGCCTCAGACTGCTGCTCGGGGGCGCAGCATAGGCTAGAGGGAGGGCCCAGGGCCCGGAGGCTCACTGTGGCCCGAGAGCAGAGGTGCTTGTCTGTCCCGGACGCTCCCTCAGCACTGTGCCTGCGGCTGGAGTGTCAGTCAGTCCCATGTGACACCAAGAGGTGAAACTCAGGTACCTCCTCCTGCTTCCCGGGGCGGGGGCGGGAGCGGGAGACCCTCTGCCCCCCCAGGTGGTGGACGGGCGGGGGAGGGCGTGGGCCTGGGCAGGCTGGCCCTGCCCATGGTGGCGGAGGGGGCCTGGCACCACCACGACCCTCTGCTCTCGTGCCTCAGCCCAAGGGCGGCTGCAAACGATCATGGGGCACAAAAGAGTCTGACACGGCCGAGGTCAGGCACCATTTTTTTATAAAAACGCATAATCTCATTTTCTCACTTGAAAATCACATTCAAAAATCGGCAAAGAAACGCCCCAGGGAGTGAGCAGGTGGGAGGGGAGGGTGAGCCGACCCAGCCGCTGGGGAGGACGCGACACCACACACGGCAGCGCGATTGGCACGAGGGGGCATGCGGCGGTGAGGGGCCGTGGGGAGTGGGACGGGGCTGGGGCTGGCCAGCCCACGGGCACACTGACGACCCCAGGGTGGCGAGGCTGGTCCAACTGGCTCCTCGCTGTGCAGCCCCGGCTGGCCCCGTGGCCCTGGGCAGAGTGATGGCGAGGGCGAGGCCCGATAAGGACGGGGCCAGGGGGACCTCAGGCCCGGCGAGGCCAGCGTGGCACAGCCCACAGCTGCCTTTCCGTGGGCCTTGAGCCTGGGGCGCGGGGCTGGGGTGACAGCAGCAGCACCTGCTGCCAACGCCGCCGTCCTGGCCAAGCCCCGTGCCCAGGGAAGGTGGGGATGGAGGCGGCAGTGACACGGGGACTCCCCCGCGTGAGGGGGCAGGAGTCCAGATCACCGTGGGCGGCGCTGGGTCAGGGAGACCACGGGACCCTCCTCCCCACGGGCTGGGGCGGACAGCGCGGGGCTGTCTCTGCCGCAGGAAGGGCCGGAGCGGGGGAACTCAGGTGGCATTCCGTGCTGTGGCCGCCCTGGGCGGAGGACGCTGCCACCCACTGCCGCCGGCACAGAGCGCAGCCCAGAGCCTGAGGGGGCACCGCCCGGGGAAGGGCGGGCCGGGGGCCGCTCTCCCTGCACAGGAAGCCGCGGGGAGCGGTACCCCTGGGGCTCCAGGGGGACGGTGGCTGGGCAGCGGCTGGGTTGGTGGCAGCAGGAGCCAAGGCAAGCGGGCCCCTCCCCGGGGGCTGGGCCACAGGAAGTCACAATAATTACAAAATAAAACCTTTTCCGCTTGGCGGGAAAACAAATAATAAAAATTCGACAAAATAAATTAGAGGTTTATAAAAGGCGGCGGGGGGCGGGAAGGGGGGGTCAGAGGCCGTTGGCGCTGCCGCGCTGCACCAGCGGCACCTTGCTCAGCTCCACCACGGGCGAGCGCGCCTTGTTCTTCATCTTGGGCACGCGCTGCACCAGCTGCTGGGCCTCGCGGTAGGCGTCCCGCAGCTCCTTCTTCCACTGCACCAGCTCCGGGTCGCTCTGCGCACGCCAGGCCGTCAGGGGGGCCGGCGCCCCGCGGGCCCCCGGCCCCCACGCAGCCCCCGCCCGCCGGCCCGCACCCCACTCACGTCGCACTGCAGCACGAACTGTTTGCCACCGCGGATCTTGAGGAGGAGGCATTTCCGCTCCTTGATCTGCGTCTCCTCCACCGACTGGATCTCCTCCATGGTCAGCAGGCTCTGCTGCAGGCGGGAGGGACGGAGGGGCCGTGAGGGGACAGGCCGGCCCAGCCGCCCCGGCCCCGGCCCGGCCCGGCCCGGCCCCTCCTTACCGGGGCCTCGCCCTCGCCCCGCCACTCCAGCCGGTTCGGGAACAGGTAGAAGTACCGCCGCTGCCACTGCGTCAGGAAGGGGTTGCCCATCTTGGACATGTAGCCGTGCATGATGCAGTCCTTGCCCAGGGCGTAGTCTGCGAGAGAGAGAGGCCCCGGGCTGGAATCCTCTCTCCGCTCCCCTGCGGGCAGTGGGCACCCCCGGCGGCCCAGCCCTCACCTTCCTCGTGGCCCAGCTGCTTGTTCTTGGTCTTCTTGCGGGTCTCCAGCCGGTCCGTCTCGGCGTTGATGGTGTCGAAGACGGTCTCCGCCACCTCCTGCTGCCACCGCTCGGAGATGGTGAGCGGGAAGTTGCGGTAGAGCTCCTGGTCGCTGTCCAGTAACTGCCACGGGCACGAGGCGGGGCGTCCGTCACCCTGGGTGTGCCCACCCCGAGGGACCGGGGCACGCGGGCTGGTCCACCCGCAGGGACATGGGGGGAGGGAGCCAGAGGGCGGACAGGGCTGGCCAAGGTCCCACGGGGGCAGAGGAGGGACGCGGACGCCCGGGCGGGCTCCGGCCCGGCCAGGCCAGGCCCCGTACCTTGATGCCTTTCGTGTCCTCCTCATCGAAGGAGCCGATGTCGAAGGCGTCGGCGGCGTTCACCTCCCCTCGCGGGGGGATCAGCGGGGGCGGGTACTGTGGCGGGAGAGGGCTGGCATCAGCATGGGTACGGCCTGCAGGGCACCCCCGGCCCGGCCCCCCTGTACCTTCTGCAGGAAGACCATCTGCCAGTCCAGCGAGCGGAAGAAGGGGCTCTCCTTCACCTCCTGGGCCCTGTGGGGAGACGCCAGTCACCGGGCTGCGGCCGGGGCAGGTGGCCACCGCTAGCTCCGGGCTCAGCCGCCTTCCGGTCCAGCGACCTTGGCCAAGTTCCCTAAACCTGAACCATTTCCTCATCTCTAGCGGGGAGAGCAGAGTTCCCACGTCTCGCAGGGTGGTTGTACGCTTTAATATCATAAATCTTGCAACATCATGCCTGGCACTTAGTAAATGTTTAATAAACATAAAAAGCCGCTGTCATCATCATCTGATATCGCCGTCTTCGTTACCAGGGCCCTCCGGAAGCCGGTCACCAGCCAGCTCCGGCAGCTGCGTCCCGGAGGATGCCGGGCTCGACTGGCTGTGCCCCGGCTCCTGTGAGCTCAGAGGGGCTGGTTCTAGTGAGGGGCACAGCCCTGTCCGCAGGGGGCACAGGCAGAGGCCCAGCAGCCACTGCGGGGGCCTGGATGCCGCAGCAAGTCGGGTGCTCAGGGCCTTGCTGAGAGCACTCACCCTCGGCCCAGGCAGCCCAGTCTCCGGTGGACGTCCCTCTGCAGCAGCCCCTCCAGCAAGGAGCGGAGCTCGGGGGAGAAGGAGTCGGGCAGCTCCACGGCCTGGGGGGAGAGCCCGCTGTCAGCAGCGGCCACAGAGGAGCCCGGGGCCCAGGAGAGCGAGAAACGGGCCCCGCTTCCTTACTGCCCCACCCCGGCGGGCATGTCTGCTCTGACAATACAGGGCAGGAGGCCAGCGTGGGGATGAGTGGCCCAAGGTCATTGCCGGTGAGAACCAGGAGTCCATGACCCTGATACCATGAGCCTCCAACCCCGCTGTGGCCCATGGACTCCACACAGCACCCGGGCCGAACCCCACACGCACCATTGTCAATGTCATGCGGTCGATCTCATGCTTGTCTTTGGTCTTGTGCTGCCGGAAGGGACTGTGCCTGGGCGCGAAAGGACAAAGGACAAAGTCACAGAACGGAATGGGGAAACTGAGGCAGGTAGCATCCCTGTTCCTCATCCACAGCCAGGACGATGCCACGCCTCACACCCAGGTAGCTGTGGGCTCCTCCCCCAGCCTCCTGCCGGGCTCTGTCCGGCCCCGCCCACCCACGCGGGACGCCCACTCACCCCCGCAGCAGCTTGAAGAGCATGCAGCCCAGGGAGAACCAGTCGGCGCTGCTGTCGTAGGCCACGCCCTTCTGCAGCACCTCGGGGGCCATGTACCCGTGGGTGCCCCTGTGGGAGCAGGGCCGTGAGCGGGTTGGGCAGAGGGTTCGGGAGGGGGCGGGCGGGTGGGCACTCACACGCTGGCGTGGGGCTTCTTCTTGGAGAAGTCGCAGGCCAGGCCCAGGTCCGAGATGCGCACGTGGCCGTGCTCGTCCAGCAGGATGTTGGCGGGCTGCGGGGAAGGCCAGTGAGCGGCCCCGGCGGCTCGGGACGGGCCCGCCAGGCAGGGCGCCAGCTGGCCGCTGCCTTCCCTCTAAGGGGTGAGGGTGTCCGGGGACCAGGCCCCGGGCAGGGCCTTCGCCTCCCCCCTCATCACAATCTGCACCCAGAAAACGGCGTGCTGGGCGGGAGGGCGCCCCGGGGAGGAGCCGCCGCCTGCCCGGCCCCCGCTCCTCGGCCGGGCTCACCTTCAGGTCCCGGTAGACCACGAAGCGGTTGTGCATGTGCTCCAGGCCCAGGATGATCTCGGCCGCGTAGAAGCGCATGTCGGCCTCGGAGAAGACGCCGTGCTGGGACAGGTGGTAGTGCAGGTCCCCGCCTGCGGGAGGGGGTGCTCAGCTGCGGCCGCCCCGCCCGTGCCCGGCCGCCCCGCTCACCGCGCTCACCGCGCTCACCGTTCATGAGGTCCAGGATGAAGCTGAGCTTGTCGGGCGTGTGGAACGCGTAGGACATGCAGACGATGAACGGGCAGTCCTGGGCGGAGGGACCGACGGGAGGTCAGCGGGAGCCGCCCCGAGGCCCAGCGCCCCAGCTGCTCGGGGCTGCCCGCCGGCGCCCGCTCGCTCGCCCGGCGCCCGCTCACCGCCCGGCGCCCGCTCGCCCGCCCGGCACCCACTCACCCGCCCGGCGCCCGCTCACCCGCCCAGTGCCCGCTCGCCCGCCCGGCGCCCGCTCGCCCGCCCGGCACCCGCTCACCCGCCCGGCGCCCGCTCACCCGCCCAGTGCCCGCTCGCCCGCCCGGCGCCCGCTCGCCCGCCCGGCGCCCGCTCGCCCGCCCGGCGCCCGCTCACCCGCCCGGCGCCCGCTCGCCCGCCCGGCGCCCGCTCACCGCCCGGCACCCACTCACCCGCCCGGCGCCCGCTCACCCGCCCAGTGCCCGCTCGCCCGCCCGGCGCCCGCTCACCCGCCCAGTGCCCGCTCGCCCGCCCGGCGCCCGCTCACCCGCCCAGTGCCCGCTCGCCCGCCCGGCGCCCGCTCACCGCCCGGCGCCCGCTCGCCCGCCCGGCGCCCGCTCACCCGCCCGGCACCCACTCGCCCCAGTGCCCACTCACCCGCCCGGCACCCGCTCACCCCGGCACCCGCTCACCCCGGCGCCCGCTCACCGCGGCGCCCGCTCACCCCGGCGCCCGCCCGCCCGGCACCCGCTCACCCGGCACCCGCTCACCCCGGTGCCCGCCCGCCCGGCGCCCGCTCACCCCGGTGCCCGCTCACCCCGGCGCCCGCTCACCCCGCTGCCCGCCCGCCCGGCACCCGCTCACTCCGGCAGCCGCTCACCCCGGCGCCCGCTCACCCCGGCGCCCGCCCGCCCGGCGCCCGCTCACCCCGGCGCCCGCTCACCCCGGCGCCCGCCCGCCCGGCGCCCGCTCACCCCGGTGCTGACGAGGGACAGCATGATGCGCTCGTTCAGGGCCAGCGTCTCCCCCTGCTTCATCTTGATGCGCTTCTTGTCCAGACACTTCATGGCGTACCTGCGGGCCGGCAGGGTCACCCAGGGGCGCTGTGTGCGGAGCCAGGCTGCTCTGGCCCAGGGTCAGCGTGGGGGGTCCTCAGAGCCCTTTTGGGGAATTCTGGGCACCCCAATAAGCTTGACACACAGACAGGGAGGGGGCCAGAGGAAGTGGTGGGCTGGTGGGCTGGAGGCTCAGGGTGTAAGAATGGGGAGAGAGACGGGGGCGTGGAGTGACGAGCAAGCATCTGTCCCCGTGCAGAGACTGGCTCTCCCGTGGGCACCCAGGGGCCCTCCCTCCCCTCAGGGAGCTCACATCTTGCCCGTGTCGGCCTTCCGGCACCCGTAGACCTCGCCGAAGCCGCCGCGGCCGATGATGCGGTGCACGCTGAAGTCGTTCATGGTCAGCTGCGGGGCCACGGCCGGGTCACTGCGGGCTGCTGGCCCCGGCCGTGGCCACCCTCACTGCCGCCTGCCTGAGCCGCCCCGTGGGGAACCTGGCGCTGAGCCCACAGCCACACCGGAGGCTGGCAGACTCCCTGACCTCCTAGCCCTGGCCAAGCCCCGGGCTCAGCCCACTCACGTGAATGTTGAGCTCCACATTCTTCCACTGGCAGAACCGAGTGAATTTATCGCTGTAAGAGAAGGACTGGGCTCAGGCAAACTCAGAGATACACGGGATGAGCCTACCCCACCCACTGCTCTCCCTGGGGCCCCAAGCCTCAGGCCCTCCCCTGGAACGGCCCGGGAATAGTGTGCGGGCCTGGCCGCCTGCATGCAGGCTCCTGCTGCGCTCAGAGGTGAGAAAGGTCTCCAGCCTGAGACTTCCTGCCGCCAGACCCGACTGTGCCGCGTGCCTCTAGGACAGGGCACTCACCCCCCTCCCGGGAGGCCCCTCCGTGGCCCCTCCTCACCTCAGGCTGAGATCCGCCTGCAGTCTCCCCTCCCCCGACCAGGGGCGCTGGCCATGAGGGGGGCTGGGCAGTGTGTCCTCTCGTGTCCACCCGAACCACCCCCATGTTCCTGCTGGACAGGCCCAGCAGGTGCTAACGGTCCGTGGGAGGGAAGACCCCTAAAGAAGGACCTGGGCCGGGCTTGGGGCAATGACCTGGCCTAACCTCTGAGGAGTCTCTTCACCGGGTGCAGACGGGCCCAGGCACCCCCTGCCCGGGGCCTAAAGCAGCCGGCTTCTCCCCACGCCACCCACACCCACTCAGGACAGCCGCTTCCTCCCCCTGCCCCTCTCTGCTCCTGCGTGCGCCCGCTCACCTCTCAATGAACTTCTGGAACACATCCCCCCGCAGGTTCTGACAGATCTCCTCGATGTACGGCTAAGGGAGGAAGGCAGAGGTTGGCGAGGTGCCAGAGTGGGGCTGATCCGCTCCCTGGCCTGGCCGGGGGAGGCATGGGCACAGTCACACACCTGGAAGAGATCCGGAGGCACCTGCCTCTTCGCCAGGTGGCCCTGGACATGCTCGGTGGCGCTTTTCGAGAAGGGCTGGGAAGACAGAGGCGGCGTGAACTCCCCGCGGGCAGGAGAGTTCGTCCCTCCGACGCCCAGGGCGCTCCGGCCGCGGGCAGTGCGGGCACTCACGTGCGAGCAGGCCAGCAGCTCCTTCATGATGTAGGTGTCGAAGATCTCCCGGCTGCAGGCCAGCCGCTCCTCCTCCGTCTCCAGCTTCTCGTATTTCCTGATCTGGAGGACAAGATCCCGGTGACCTTCGGCCCAGGGAGGCCGGAGGCACCGGGCATCTGGGGAACTCGGCAAAAGCAGCCCAGCCCGTCCCTCTGCCGGCAGCCAGGTCAGCTCACCTCCTCGTAGAACTCCACCAGGGGCCTGGCCTCCTCCAGGTGCTTCAGGCAGAAGTCTCGGAAGAGCAGGTACCCTGCAAGCAAGGTCAGGGCCCACTGAGCCACCCGTCTCGGAGGCCCTCCCACCACGAGGGCGTCCTGGGCAGAACAGGGCGAGGAGGCGGCAGAGGCGGTCTCTGCCAGGCAGTGGCTGGCCCAGACGGCCTTGAAGGCTGCAGCCAATGGGAGAGTCTTGGATCCACCCTCTCAGGATCTCCTCCTCAGATGGCGCTGGCACGTTGGTGAGGCACAAGCCGGGGGCTGGCTCTGGCACCTGGGTCCCTGCCCTCTCACTGCCGTCTAGGGACCTGCACCTCCTCCCACAGCGACCCCCGCCCCGGGCAGCTGTGGCCGCGCAGTGAGATGCCCCTGGCCAGGCCAGCGCCGCAGCCTGGGGAGCAAGCTGCCTCCCAGGGCCACCTGCTCCCCCAACCTTACCGCCCCCGTCAGCCGCTGACTCTCACAGCAGCTGAGACACGGCCCACAGGGAGGGAGGTCCACCTGGGGAAACTGAGGCTCAGCAGGTGTGTCAGGCAGGCCTGAGGGGCAGGTTGGGGAGTCGGGCTGAAGGGCAGGGGCCCCTGGGGGAAGAGGTGAGCGGGGCGACGGCAAGGACTCGCAGGAGGCCCCGGACAGGCCAGGTCTCACCTCCCAGCGAGCAGGGGCCTGTGGCCTGGCTCAGAGCACCCTGGAGGGCCAAGGAGAAGGACGGGTGGCCCTTGCACCCTCCGGCCCAACCTGGGCAAGCATCGTGCACTTGGGAGCTTTCCCTGCTTCTTGGGGGAACTGCCCCCTCCCCTCCCCCCCCGCCCAGGCACCTCTTCCAGAGCGGGCAGACGCACTTCCTGTCGGGGGCCTGGCCCACCAGTGTCGTGCCCCTGAACAACTCGGGGGGCTTTCGCTGGCACTATCACTTCCGGTCCCCCCCACAGGTGGGGCTCCTGCGCTGTAGGTCCCAGGTGGGGACACCAGCGGGCTCAGAGAGGTAAAGCCACGTGCCCAAGGTCACACAGCACAGGCAAGGGTACCCCAGCCGTGTGCTTCCCCACGGGCTGGCTCCCAGCCTGACCTCAAAGCCTGATCCCACCAGCCAGGCCACTCCCATCTCAGAGCGGAGGTCCTGCCCTCTGAAGCCCCATCCGAGCTGAGTGACGAGCCTGCGGCCCCGAGGCCAGGTCCCCGCTCAGACCACAGCCCCGGCGGGGGAGGAGGGAGGGCCAGGCCGAGCAGGTTGCTCACAAAGAGGGCCATGGGGGCGGGGTGGGCCGACCACAGCGAGGCAGGCGCCACAGGAAGAGCCCCGCCCCTTCCTGTCAGCGCTACCAACTGCCCGGAGCAGCTGTGCCTGCGCCAAGGGGAAGCTGCAACTCGCAAAAACAAAAACCCCAAAGGAGGAACTTCCCCCGTGGCCTGGAAGACTGCGGCCCCCACCCCTGCACAGGGCTCCGGGCCGACAGCCAGGGCCCGGGCACAGCAGGTCAGCCCTGCTGACACCCAGGGGCTCCCGGCGGCCCTGCCCCAGGGGAGGGAGGCCAAGCCCGACGCCAGCCTCAGGCCTTTCTGTCCCCACGCCCCGTCCCCGGGCTGGCGGGGCCCCGCCGACTCACCCAGCTTCTGGGAGAAGATCTTGTCGAAGGTCACCTCGCCCCGGTCCTCCAGGTACTTCTGCATGACACTGCGGATGCTGGAAGACAGAAGGCCGGTGACCGGGGCCCTGGACGCCGTCAGCAGGGGGCACTGCGATGGGCATCACTGCTCCCTCTGAAGGTCACAGCAGAGGGACCGGGAAGCCTGGGCCTGCCCCCCAAGGCTCTGTCCCCCACAGCGGGGTGGCCAGAAGGAGGCTGCTGAGAAGCTGGGTCCCAGCACTGCTTTGTGCTGGCTCTGGGGTCTTGGCACCGGCAGCAGATGATGGGTAACCAAAGCGTGGCCTGTCCCCACCATGACACGCACACTGCTCAGCCACAGAGAGCCAGCAGTGACGCACGGACTCGTTACAATATGAGGGGCTTGAGAGCATCCCGCTAAGTGACAAAGATAATCCTAAAAGACCGCTCTGTGCGACTCCATTCCCATGGAATGCCAAGAGCAGACAGACCCACGGAGACAGAAAGCAGACTGGTGGCTGCCAGGGGCTGGGGGAGGGAAGGGGGGGACGGGAGTGTCCTGGAGTTAGGTAGTGGGGAGGGTTGCACAACATAGTGAACGCACTAAAACCCACTCAACTGTCCTCTTTAAAATGGTAAATTTTTAAAACTATTTTTATTGCCGAAACCGGTTTGGCTCAGTGGTAGAGCGTCGGTCTGCGGACTGAAAGGCCCCAGGTTCGATTCCGGTCAAGGGCATGTACATTGGTTGCGGGTACATCCCCGCTAGGGGTGTGCAAGAAGCAGCTGGTCGATGTTTCTCTCTCATCGATGTTTCTAGCTCTCCATCTCTCTCCCTTTCTCTCTGTAAAAAAATCAATAAAAATATATTTAAAAATATATTTTTATTGATTTTTAGAGAGAGGAAGGGAGGAGAGAAACATAGACTCGAGAGGGAAGCATCGATTAGCTGCCTCTTGCACCCCGCCGCCAGGGACGGAGCATGCCACCCGGCCTGTGCCCTGACTCGAACGGAACCAGCGACCGTTAGGTGCACAGGATGATGGCCAACTGACTGGCCAGGGCTAAAATGGACAAGGGCAGGAGTCCCCTTCCCTCCAGCCCAGGCCCAGAGGCTGTAAAAGGAGGATGTCGACAAGGCCTTGTCAACCCTCCAACCTTCCCGAGGTGACCTTCGATTTGACCTACCATTTGAGTTATTTGAGTTATTTGAGTTATATTTCGATTTTTTAAAATGGTTAAAAAGTGAAAAAGCCCAGCCTCAGTCCACATGTCCCTGACGCCTGTCCCTGCTGCAGCAGGGAGGGGTGGCCGCTCTGACACCGAAGCCAGCCCCGTGCTCTGCCCGCTCCTCTCACCCCCACGTCCAGCGCAGTCTGGGGCAGCGCCGCCCACCATGCTTCAGGCCGCAGACACGCCATTTGTCCCCCTCCCACCCCCCACCCCAGGCCACCTGCAGTCTGTCCCTGCAGCCTGCCCGTCACATCCGGTCCTCACCAGCCCAGGATCCCAGGAGCCGGCTCGCTGCCCACCCTGAGGGCCATGCTGGCAGCCGCACCTGAGGCCAGGCAAGGGCGTGTGACCTTAGGGTCCGCGGGCCACCAGCAGGCCGCTAATAAAGAGACCGCACTGGTAAGGACTTGGCGGGGAAGCCCAGGCTGTGCCTCCCTCTCCGGGTCCCTCTGAGCCCAGCTCGGGGCCCGGCCACGGCCTCCGGGAAGGCAGGACAGCCTGGTTCGGTGCCATTAGACAGAGGATGACAGGCCGGAGGGGGACCCGGCCGGTTCAAGGAGACTCGGACAGGGAGGAGTGCTCCAGGCCAGTGATCGGCAAACTGCGGCTCGTGAGCCACCTGCGGCTGGAGAGCCGCGGTTTGCCGCCCTGTTGACTGCTGAGTTTGCCGACCGCTGCTCTGGGCCTTGGGGACAGGCTGTGGGGAAGGCGGAACTTCGGTGGGTACCTCTGCGCAAACAGGATGTGAGCAGGTGAGGCCCAGGACGGTGGGCGGGCGGAGGAGACACGGGGGGAGCCAGGCCAGGGGGGAGCCGAAGGACCCTTAGGAAGCTCGGCCCAGGGCAGGACTGAGCGGACGCCGCTGGGCACGGCGGGCGGAAGCCCAGGTTCTGATGGCGGCCAGGAAGGAGGGAAAGGAGCGGGGTGAGGAGGAGGCTCTGGCTGGCAGAGGATGGGAGAGGGTTGACAAGGCCTTGTCGACATCCTCCTTTTACAGCCTCTGGGCCTGGGCTGGAGGGAAGGGGACTCCTGCCCTTGTCCACTCCACGTGTTCCCTCTGAGACGGTCCGGGCGGAAGCCCCGGCCCCAGCCTTCCTCACCTTGGCTCATGGTCGGTCCACTCAAGGGAAAGTCTCGGAGAGAGCACGGGGGCGCGCGGAGCCTGGAACCTCCGTTCAGACACTGGGGCGCCGGGTGGGGTGGGGGTTGGGGGTGGGGATGCTGGGCCGGGCGCAGTGGGCAGGGCCCCGACCAGGTGGCAAAGGCTCGGCAGCCTGGGAGACCAGGAAGCCCGGAGGCAGGGTGCCTGGGTGTCTCCCGGGAGAGGGACCGGGAGGGCGGGGCCCTCATTCTCTGCCCTGCACCCCATTCCTGTGCAGGGGTGAGAGAGAGCAGCTGGGGGAGAACGAGGGGAACAAATGTCCCTCCTGCTTGGAATGGACTCTGAGACGGCGGTCAGGCTGCTCGGGTGAGTGTCCGGACAGGGGATGCAGACGGCGCACAGCCTGTCTGAGTGACCCCAACGGGGCTCCTGCAATGGCCACTGGGAAGCCCCGAGCCCCAGCTCCCGTTATGAGAACCAGCGAGCCTGGCGCTGGCTCAGTGAGTGACTGCCGGCCCCGAAGAGCAGCTGAGAACGGGCACCCAGGTGCCCCGGGGTCACCCTCCAGAGGGCCTGCCCGCCGGAGAGGACCGGGCGGCAGAGCGGCCAGCTCCGAGCTGCCCTCCCCAGAGCCCGCACGGAGGCCGGCATTCTTCCCGGCCCACAGCTCTCCACTTCTTCCTTAAAAAGAAAAAAATGTTCCTAAATAAAACAAACACGGCCCCCAACCAAACACAAGGTCAAGCTCGGGCAGAGCCGAACGGCAGCCCCCGAAGCGACAGCGTGAGGGTTCCTGTCCGCTCCCCGGGCCGCCGAGGAGCTGGCAGGTCAGAGAACGTGCCACGGGGGCACTCCCGCCGGGGTGGCAAGCCCGGGCTGGCACAGGGGGCGGCGAGGGCCTCGGGGCGGGGGAGCCCGGGCAGCATTCCTGTCCCTGCCCAGTCAACAGCCCCAATGCCCGGGGCACGTGGCCCCACGTCCACCCCGGGCTGCCCAGTGCCCGCATCTGTCCTGCAGCATCTCCCCGCCGCCCTCCCCGGAGCCAGGCCAAGCCACCACTTCACCCACCCGGTTCCTCATTTGTGAAATGCGGATGTCAACAAAACGCTGAACTGCCGCCCCAGCGCTGGCCACCTAAGACGCCGGAGGCCCCGGCCGGTGTGGCTCGCTGGGCGTCACCCCTGCCCTCGAACCCCTGGTTCCGTTTGCCGGCAGCGCACATGCCTGGGCCACGGGCTCCATCTCCAGTGGGGGAGGGGGTTCAGGGGGCGGCCCATCCTGTTTCTCTCTCCAAAGTAATAAAAATACAGATAAATAAATGGCTGCTACAGCCGCACCTCCTCTGGACTGCGGCCACAGCTGCACCTTGTTGGTGTTCCGGGGCCTGCGGCCGGGGCAGGCCTCCTGACGGGCAGCCCTGGCAGGAGCCGGAGGGCAGGACGTGGCTGCCACGCCACTCTGCTCGCAGACCGGCCTCGCTCACCGGCGCTGCTCAGCCTGGGGCCTCGGGCGGAGCCCAGCACCTGCCCTGCCGAAGCATCGGGGGCCCCTCAGCAAGAGGCCCACCCCGTGGCAGGGAGTGCAGGCCTGGGTGCGTGGCACTGCCACCTGCAGCCAGGGCTGCCCACACCGGCCCCAGCTGCTCCCAGGAGCAGGTCCGGCTCACACGGCATGAGGGGGCGGGCGGAGGGGAGCACTTCCTCCCTCAGCCCAGAGCCAGGGTTGGGGTGACAGAACAGCAGGCGGCGAGGGGGTGAGAACTTCCGGAACCTTCTGGCAGCACGTGGCCCACAGGAAGCGCAGAGGCCCTCACTCTGGGGCGCAGTGGCCCGGCAGGCTGGTCCGGGACCCCATCAGTGACTCCTGCTCGGGGCCACGGCGGTGGCTTCTGTGGACGGGGCGGGCCGGCAGGGGTCAGAACAAACACAGCCTGATGGCGAGGGAATCGGGGCTGAAGGCAGCGGAGCAGAGTCCCACCCGCGTTAGTGGCAAGAGAACCTCCAGCCCTCTCTGAGGAAGGGGCTCCCACAGCGGCCCCCCAGCCTCTGTGGAGGAGCGGGGTGCAGGGTCTCGGGGGACCCTGGCTCGTGGCCTGGTTGCCTCGCTGCCAGTGGCTGCGGGCAGCAGCGGCCTCTCCCCTGGGCACCCATCAGGCTGACTGGCACCTGGCAGGCCAGGGACCGTAGTTCCTGTGCCCTGAGTGGCAGGGGGACAATGCAAGCTGGCACGGGGCCGGGGCCTGGCAGGCCCATGCAGCCCCACCGGAACGGGCCTGGGAGGTGACAGCTACCCAGCCGCAGAGCGGCAGCGAAGGCGCTCCCCTGTGGCACTTCCAGGAAACCTGGCACCGCGGTGGCCGCGGCAGGAGCCGTCCCCTGGGGCTTCTTATTAATATTTCTCAATGGCTCCCCCTCGGGCTGGCAATGGCCTCGGAGATCAAGGACGGACGGGGCGCATACGGGATGGGAAGACCGACTGAACCGGCCAGCTGCCAGGGAAGGGAGAAGGATGCCCGTGGGCACCTCACACCAGCCCGCTGCCATGTCTGCAGCGGCCCAGGCCCCGAGGCACGGCGGCCAAGGCTCCCTGCGGGATGTCACACCACGTCACGGCTGCCACGCAAATACGACACGAGCACCACGCCCTGCCATCCCCACCATCACGTTAGGGCGCTGCGCCCCCCGGTGCCCGGGGCTGTCCCCTCCCGGAACCAGGAGGGCCCGGCTCAGAGCCGTCTCCGCAGGGAACAGGCTGCTCACACGTTAGCGCCAAACCCTGCTCTCCGGCGGCCTTAGAAGACGCCGCTGCTCAGCTCCCAGCTCCCGAGCCTCCTGTGCGAAGGGCGCAGCAATACCCTGAGCGGCTCCATCTCTGTGAGGAGGGAGCGGGCGCAGGAGCACGGGGAGCGGCCACGGGGAGAGGGGCAGGTGTGGTGGAGGCTGTGCATCCCCAAAGACTGGGTTCGTGGCCTGTTTGGTCCCGGGGGAGCCCCATGTCCAGGGAGCACTGGCCGTCTGCAGGCCGACCGGGCCTGCGGGGGGAGGACCGCTGTGGCAGGTGGGCCTGCACCCGAGCCGCTGGGCGCTCACCGCGGGAACCGATGGTGCGTGCAACGGAGTCATTACTCCTGGGCTGACGGAGCCCAGAATCCCTGCACGGACCCCAGCCCGCGGCTCCTGTTCCCTCAGATTCCTGGGTAAACAGGCAGCGAGCAACGTGGTGGCAAACATGGGAAAGCCAGCGACGGGGAGAGGAGGACAGATGGGGAAAGACAGGCCAGGGACCCATTCCCGGGACCCAGGGGCTCTGGAGCCCCGAGGGAGGGACTGCCACTGGAGTGGAAAGTTCTGGAGGAGGAAGAAAGGCCGGTGGGGAAGCAGAGGAGGGAGGAGGAGGGGAGAAACCCTTCCCGCACCCCATCCCCCACAAATCGGGGCAGGAAGTTCTGGAGGCTGAGAGCGGTGGGTCCGGGAGACAGGGAAGCCGGGAGAGGGACAGGAAGAAGGAAATCCACGGTGGGGGAGGGACCAGGAAGGAGCCGGGAAAACGGGCTGCGAGAGGCGCCGGCTCGGACAGCCTCCTGCAGGGAGGACAGGGCACCTCCGGGGAGGACAGGGCCCCTCCGGGGAGGACGGGGCCCCTCCGGGGGGGACAGGGCACCTCCGGGGAGGACAGGGCCCCTCCGGGGAGGACAGGGCCCCTCCGGGGAGGCCAGGGCCCCTCTGGGGAGGACAGGGCACCTCCTGGGAGGACAGGGCCCCTCCGGGGAGGACAGGGCCCCTCCGGGGGGGACGGGGCCCCTCTGGGGAGGACGGGGCACCTCCGGGGAGGACAGGGCACTCCTGGGGAGGACAGGGCACCTCCGGGGAGGACAGGGCCCCTCCGGGGAGGACGGGGCACCTCCGGGGAGGACAGGGCACCCCTGGGGAGGACAGGGCACCTCCGGGGAGGACAGGGCACCTCCGGGGAGGACAGGGCACCTCCGGGGAGGGCAGGGACCTCCGGGGACGGCCGAGACGGGCTGCTCGGCAGGAGTCCGGAGATTAATTACACAGGCCTCCATGGTCACATTAAGCAAATGGCAGTAATTACAGCTGCTGCCGCCGCTGGAGCCACAGACAGGGCTCCGGAGAGAGGAACAGGCCCGGACCCTGAAAGGGCGCTGGCAGACGCGGAGGCAGGCCGGCCAGGAGGAGGGCTGGACCGGGCACTGCGGCGGTTAGGAGCCGAGTCTCCTCTCCACACAAGGCCAGTCCTTCAGTGAGGAAGGGAAGTTCTGGGTCTGCTTCCCTGGCTCCTACAGGGACCGAGGGGAGGCCCGGTGCCAGCTCCAAGTGGCCTGTGCCCAACGGCTCCAGTCCCAGCCCTGGGGAGCCGGAGCTGTGACGACAGACCCCCATGCCCAGCCAAGCCCAGCCTGGCCCCGGCCGCAGGGAGCCCGCCCGAGGGGAGCACTCCACTGGCACCTCGTCCTGGGCGGAGCCACGGCCTTTCCTCCCGACCCTGACGTGTGTGTGTGTGTGTGTGTGTGTGTGGGGAGGGGGGGGGTGACCCCAGACATGGCGCTGCCTGCTCCAGGCACCAGCTTCGCCAGGGCAGCGGCTGAGGAGGGCTGGGCCTGGTGAACCGGGGCGGCTGGGTGAGGGCAGAGCTGCAGAGGGGCGCACGGAGGAACCCCAGCGGGAAGGAGGAGCACGTGGGAGCCCCGGGGCCTGAGTTCAGGCTCCAGCTCCCCCCTCGGAGTCTCAGTTGCTCCAACTACGAAATGGGAGACTCCCAGGTTGCCCACCGATCCTAAAGGAGAACGTGGAGCAGCTGCCAGACACAGACCCAGCGGTAATGGCCTTCCCGCGCAGGGCATCTGGCCGCGGGTGGGGAGGAAGCACGAGCGGAGCCGGCGTGAGCTCTAACCAGGAGCCTGGCTCGCCCGTCACTGCTGAGCGCCTCTGGTCCATCTCACAGATGTGGGCAGCCTGCCTGGCAGCGTGCTGCCAGACGTGACCCTGGACAAGAACCCAGGACCCCCTGCTCCCGGGCACCTGCCGTCTGCCGACAGCGCACACCATCCTGGTTTGGCCACGGCACCGGGCTCAGCGCCTGTGTGGCTACTCCACGCGAGGCGCGGCCTCGTCAACCCCTCACGTTGGTTCTTGGATCAATTAAGATGACAGATGTCAAAATAAATAATAAATTATTGTCATTTCCACCATCATCCCTGTCACCGCCAGCCCCACCACAGATGGCACAGGGGCCGGGGAAAGGGGAACACGCGTCTCCTGGTGCTGACACCTGCAGAGCCCACCCAAGGTGGGGCCCCGTTGGGAGCAGTGCATTCTGGGGAGAGGTTCCCCCCAAAGAGAGCATTCCAGAAAAGGCCCCGCCTCGCCATTTGCACAACCCCAACCCCCGCGGGAGGGTCTGGGGTCTTGGCCCCCAAGGAGGGCCGTTGCAAGCCGCAGGCAGAGGCCGACTCCCCCGTTTCCTCCCAGGGGCTGTGTCATTTCTGAACTCCTTTCTGTTCTAACTGTCACTGCTCCCCGGACGGCCCCGACTGACAGTCAGTCTGGTTCCTGTTTTGAGAAATCTGATTGCACATGGCTGGGGAAAAGGGCCCTAACGGCCTTTCCACACTGCAGACCCGTTTTCCTCTCCCAGGCCCGGCGTTCAGTCAGTCCGAAACCCCATCAGCCAGCGGGGCCTGGGGGGCCGCCAGGGGCTGCAGCCTGCGCCCCGGGCAGCGTTCGGCCCCGCTTCTCAGGCTCAGGGCAGTGCAGGCACAGCCTGCTGCACCCCGTCCCCACGGCTCACCGTCCCCAAGGCACAGAGGAGAAAACCGAGGCCCCCACGCCAGACGGTCTTCCCCAAAGTCACAGGATAACACCACAGCAGCCAGGACGGGCCCAGGCTCCTGGGCGGGCAGTGCCCACGTGCCCCCTCTCCCAGGCAGGAGGGAGGCGGTGCTGGGACTGGCCTCCTGGGTAACTGGAGGAACGGTCGTGGGCACCGGCTCTCTCAGATCCAGAGCGGCCAGGGCCGGCCGGGCTAGGGCGGAGGGAGAAATGGAACCGGAGCCGGAAGCCTGAGCGGGTGGCGGGCACCACCCTGGATTACCTGGGACGCCAGGCAGGCACTCAGCCTCCCCACCTGTTCCTCGGGGCCAACAACACACCTGCCCTCCCTGCCCCTGGGTGGCCACCCGGCTCAAACAATGAAAACAAAACAAAACAAAAAACGCTCTAGGAACCATAAAGCCTCATCCTGGGTGCTCGGCGCCCACCCTCACCACAGTAAACTTTGGTGCCAGGTGCGGGGCATCTGTCTCGGGGGGGGGGCGGGGGGGGCGGCCGGTGCAGCTGCTGCGGGGCTGGGGTGCCCCCGGCAGACAGCACCCCAGGGCGCCGTGGGCAGGGCCCCGGGGAGGAGGGCAGGGGGACGGGGCGCACCACACTCTGCTCCCCGCCACCCGACCCCACAGGGACCCCTGGACGGCGGGGAGACAGACTCCGGCCTCCCCCAGACCTCACACAGGGGTATCCTAAGGGGACAGGGGGACCCTAAGGGGACGGGGTGACCCTAAGGGGACAGGGGGGCCCTAGAGGGACAGGGGGGCCCTAGAGGGACAGGGGGGCCCTAAGGGGACAGGGAGGCCCTAAGGGGACAGGGGGCCCTAAGGGGACGGGGGGCCCTAAGGGAACAGGGGGGCCCTAAGGGGACGGGGGGGGGGGCCCTAAGGGGACGGGGGCCGCAGGGGCCGGGAGCGGAGGCGGAGGAGGAGGCGGAGGGCCAGGCGCCGCGGGGGGAGGAGGGAGGAGGCCGGGCTCGGGGAGAAGGCAGAGCCGCGGGCGGAGGCCGCGGGCCCGGGTTCGGGGCCGGGCGGCGGCTCACCTGGGCTCGGGCAGCAGGATCTTCTTGCTGGCGCGCGCGGCCGGCGTGGCCTTGCTCTTCTCCATGGCCATCAGGTAGCTCACGTCCGCCAGCACCGCCTCCAGGTCCGCCATCTTGGCGGCGGCGGCGGCCTCCGCTCCGCCGCGCCCGCCGCTCGGCCGCTCCGTCCGCCGGGCCCGCCGCCGCCCGCCCCGGCTCCGCGGCCGCTCACACGCGGCGCCGCCCCATGGCCGCCGCCGCCGCTCCCTCCGGACGCAGCGCCGCCCCGCCCGCCGCCGCCGCCGCCGCCGCCCGGCGGCGCCCCCTGCAGGCCGCGCCCGCGTCACCGGCTCCCGGCGGCGGCGCACCCCGACCCGGACCGGACCGGACCCGACCCGGACCCGGACCCGGACCGGACCGGACCCGACCCGGACCCGGACCCAGACCGGACCCGAACCGGACCCGGACCGGACCCGGACCCCGACCCGGACTCAAACCCGGACCGGACCGGACCCGGACCCCGAACCGGACCGGACCCGGACCCCGACCGGGACCCGGACCCGGACCCCGACCCGGACCGGACCCCAACCCGGACCCCGACCCGGACCCGGACCCGGACCCGACCCGGACCCGACCCAGACCCGGACCCGAACCCGGACCCGGACCCCGACCCGGACCGGACCCTACCCGGACCCTGACCCGAACCCCGAACCGGACCCGGACCCGGATCCGGACCCGGACCGGGGAGAACGCCGCACCCGGACCCTGGCGCCCAGTCCGGCCTCCGGCGGCTCCCGGACTCGGCCAGACCGGCACCAAAACACGGTCCCGGGACAAAGCCCGAGACCTGACACCAGACCTGGAGACACTGTGACTCGAGCCTCCGAGCGGACGCCAGACCCAGACCTCGGACCCAGACCCAGACCTCAGAATCTCACCCTGACCTTGGGTCACCAGCCTGGGTCCCTCACCGCCGCACCCAGACCCTGACTGCCCGGCCCCGGCCCCAGCAGGATCCCACGGCTAGGCTTTGGATCCGGATCGCACTTCACATTGGTTGCTTGACCCAACCTGATTCCAACCCCCAAACCAGACCACACTCGTGACCCTAAACCTTGAACGTGGGGGCAGAGCCCAGACTGGGTCTTGGATCATCAACACCGAACTGGGGTCCTAGACCCAACACCGAGAAATCTGGACACAAACCAGGACAGGGACATCCAACCAGAGCCCGGACTGGACTCGGACCCGGAACAGGTCACCAGGCACCTGGGACCTGGCCGCTGTGGCAGACTCCAGGCTCATCCCGTCCCCCATTCCCATCCTTCCTGCCCCAGACCCAGTCCCGGCTTCTGGGCCAAGGACACCGCACCAACCCTGCCCTCCCTGGACCAGCTTGTAGACCAGGCCCCTGGCCTGCCCCCACCCAACGGCAGATTCCTGACGGGATCATCCTAAGTCTCTCTCCTCCTGGGAGGGCCCGAGGGCCTCAGGCTGCCTGGCAGGGAAACCCCCTCTGCTGAGCGCACAGGGGTTTTGGGGGGGTTATCTATGTGTGTCAAAGCAGCACGTCTATGTCAACATGTTCCTCTTCGGACTCACCCTCTTCCCAAGAGGACAAGGCCTTTCCCAGGCTGGGCCCCGGAACCAGGACCCTATGTAAGGCTGCCTCCTGAGATCAGACCTTGGGTCAGAGCACGTCAGAGGCAAGGTCACTTTTAAAATATATATATATATATATATATATATATATATATATATATATATATATATGTTTTTTATTGATTTTTTACAGAGAAGGACAGAGAGTTAGAAACATTAATGAGAGAATCATCGATCGGCTGCCTCCTGCACACCCCCCACTGGGGATGTGCCCACAACCAAGGTACATGCCCTTGACTAGAATCGAACCTGGGACCCTTCAGTCTGCAGGCTGACGCTCTATCCACTGAGCCAAACCTGTCTCGGCGAGGCAAGGTCACGTCTGTGTGGGTAGCACCACCATCCACCCAGATACCCAAGCCAGGACTCCGGTCATCAGCCTTCCGCCTGCCTCGCCCCTGTCCCCATCTGCTCCAGCACCACACCCTCCGCGGGGCCTCTGGAGAACCTTCCTGAACCCTCCTGCCTCTCAGGATCCCCACGCTGCTGCCCTGCTGCTGGCTCTGGTCAGAGGTGCCTCTTCCGAACCCAGATCCGATGGCGTGACTGCCTGCTTAGCACCCAGAGGCCCCTCAGGCCAGAGGGAGCTCCGGGCTCCCACCCGCTCCGCCCAGCAAGCCCCTTCCCCTCAGGCCAAAGTCTTGGATCCTGCGCCCGGTGCCCCCTCCAGCCTGTCTGCCACCCTCCTCCGCCCCTCAGCTCTCACCTCTGGGCCCGGAAGCCCGCTGTGACCTCTCCGGTGAGCTCCTGCTCACCCTTTAAGACCTGTCCTCTCCAGGTGGCCTTCCCCAGCCCCGGCTCGGTACAGCTCTGCCCTTCCCACTCAGTTCCTTGATTTGAAAACATCATCAATTGCAAGATGCATAATGTCACCTTTTTTTGTTGTTCATTTGTTTTTTCATGTCACGTTTTTTACAGTGTGTGTGTGTGTGTGTGTGTGTGTGTGAAGCTTTATTAAATGTCTGCATCATTTGCGTCTGGCCGGTGTGGCTCAGTGATTGAACCAGGAGGAAACAGTTGGATTCCCAGTTAGGGCACAGGCCTGGGCAGTGGGCTCCATCCCCAGTGGGCGGTGTGTAGGAGACAGCCCATAAATGATTCTTCCTCGTTTTGATGTTTCTATTTCTCTCTCCTCCCTTCATCTCTGATAAAGGTTTGGCTCAGTGGATAGAGGGTCTGTGGAATGAAAGGTTCCGCCTGGGTTCGATTCCGGTCAAGGGCATGTACCTTGGTGGCGGGCACATCCCCAGTGGGGGAGGTGCAAGAGGTAGCTGATCGATGTTTCTCTCTGATCGATGTTTCTAGCTCTCCATATACAGGAGGCCACCGGCCGATGTTTCTCTCTCACATCAATGTTGCTCTCTCTTTTTTTCCCTCTCTCTCTCTCCCTTTCCTCCTTCTCTCTAAAGTCAACTCAGGGGGTGACTATTTTAAAAAAGAAGTTTCTTCCTGATAACCTGTCGGACCACAGTCCCTGTGGGTTCTCAAATGCCAACGATCCTGCTCCACGAGGTGCCCCCCCCACCTGAAAACCCAGACTGCCCCCCACCCACAGCTCAGTCTGCAGCCCCCACAGGCCTCTGCCAGGGTCCTACCCAGAGCCCGGCTCCAGAGAGCCTCCCGCTGGCTCCCAGGCCCTGGATGGTGGGAAGGGCCAGTGGGAGTCCTTGGCTTGGGGAGGCAGGGCCCGTTTCCGATCTGGGGGAGGCTGTGTTTTGGATGGTGCTGCCCTCTGGTGGTCGAGGGAAGGTCGATTGTCAACTTGCCTTTCGGGTTGGCCTGGGTCATTACTTCCCTCAACAAGCCTTTGTCCTGGGCGCGGGCTGCCCGCCTGTAGCCGGGAGAGCGATAGTGAGAGGAATGGAGCCCCACCTCGGTCCAGCTGGCAGGCCCGCAGACACATCAGTACTTGGCATCGCCCTGGATGACTAATAGGTATTGCAACCGACAGCGTCCCACACGGAGCGCTTGCTAACACCAGGAGCCCCCGTCCAACCGGCTCCTCGCCCGCCTCCCCGTTTCAGTCGTGGCTCCTCCATCTTCCAGAAACTCAGGCGTCACCCTGGATTCCTTTCTTCCATCACTGCCTCCCCCACCCACACACACACACATACACATGCTATCATCCAGATCACACCCGGTATGATGCTTCTCCTGGGCCCTGCTAGTCTCTGTCTGAGTCCCTTCACCTCCCAGCTGGTGCTGTGCCAGCTCTCCGTGGGCTCCCTGCCTCTCATCTGGCCAGAGTCTTTACAGCCTAAGCCACACCCCACCTCCAGTGACAGCCCCTGCCCTGGGGATAAAACGTACACCCTTTCCCGTGGTCTGTAAGACCTGGCCCACTTCTTTTTTAAAAAAATATATTTTATTGATTTTTAACAGAGAGAAAGGGAGAAAGATAGAGAGCTAGAAACGTCGGTGAGAGAGAAACATCGACCAGCTGCCTCCTGCACACCCCCTACCGGGGATGTGCCCGCAACCAAGGTACATGCCCTTGACCGGAATCGAACCCCGGACCCTTCAGTCCGCAGACCGACGCTCTACCACTGAGCCAAACCGGCTTCGGCTTTTTTTTTTTTTTTTAAGAGAGAGGGATACAGAGTCAGAAACATGGATGAGAGAGAATCATCAATCAGCTGCCTCTTGCACACTCCCCACTGGGGATGTGCCCGCAACCAAGGTACATGCCCTTGACCGGAAGCGAACCTGGGACCTTTCAGTCTGCAGACCGACGCCCTATCCACTGAGCCAAACCGGTTTCGGCCTGCCCCACTTCTTTCATCCAACTCTCTCCTTCTTCCCCCATCCTCTAGTCTCCAGCCTCTCCGGTCTTCCTCGGTCCCTACAACAAACCGAGTTTATTTCCACCTCGGAGTCCGGCCTGCAGCGCCCTGCCCCGCCTTCTGGCAGCAGGGCTCCTGTTCCCTGCATCTCACGGGCCGAAGGCTCCCCTTTGGTGCCTGTTTGCTGTGCTCGCTGCTCACCCTCCCTCCCAGCCCGCTCACAGCACAGAGGTGGAGGGAGCCGCAGAGAGGAAGCGGACTCCGCGGGGGCCCGTCCGGTGGGAAAGAAGACCGCCTAAGCCAGCGGCTGGCAAATCGCGGCTCCCGAGCCGCCGTGTGTGGCTCTGTTGACTGATGAGTTTGCCGACTGCTGGACTAGACTAACTGCCACCGTGTAGTTGGAAGCGGTGAGGATGAGGCGGTTGTGGCATACTGAGGTAAAGGGAAATAGACAGCGGTCGGCAAACTCCGTCAGCAGAGTGGCAAACCGTGGCTTGTGGGCCGCAGTTTGCCGACCGCGGGCCTAAGCACGTACCTACAATCCATCTGACAGGAGCTCTCGTTCGAGGAGGTAGGTGATCAGGAGGGTCACGGGAAGGGTTGGGCAGGACAAGGGAGGAACGGGAGTGGTCTTGAACTTCACACTGTGTGCACATAAGTGTGAATGAGGCTGGGGGTGAGGACTGGCG